TTTGTTCCATGTCTTGCATTTTGTGCTTTGTTTCTTCTTCCATTTCCTGCTTTTTTTTGGTTTGTTTCTTCTTCCATTTTTTTCATTTTTTGCTTTGTTTTTTCTACCATTTCTTGCATTTTTTGCTTTGTTTCTTCTTCCATTTTCTGCCTTTTTTGGTATGTTTCTTCTTCCAATTCTTGCATTTTTTGCTTTGTTTTTTCTTCCATTTCTTGCATTTTTTGGTTTGTTTTTTCTTCCATTTCTTTGAGGGATTTTCCAATATCCTCTTTTAGGGCCTCTATCACTTTCATGAAAGTGCTTTTAAGGTCATTCTCTTCTGCTTCGTTCGCATTGGAATGTTGGGGTCTTGCTGGTGTGGAGTCTCTAGAATCTGGCGGTGTCATATTTATTTTTCTGTTACTGACTGTGTTTTTGTATTGTCTCTTTCCCATCTCTATTTCTAGTGGGTGCAGAAAGAGCCCCTTACTGGTCTGGGGACCAGAGTTCCCTTTTGGTGGGTGCTAGCAAGTCTAATAATCTGGTGGTTCTTCTATTCCTTGTCCAAATGCTGGTCAGTGGGTGGAGAAGAAGAACAGGAATCTGGGGCGCTTAGCCTCCTACCTGGTCCCCTGGATCCTATGCTGGGTCCTGTTGTACCTGATTGGGAACAGCTACTCCCCTGGTCTCCCTGGCTCCTCTGGTTTCCTGGTCTCGTTGGTGGGAGAGAAGATCTGGAGTCTGGGGTGCTTGGCTCCCGCCGGGATTGGGAGCTCTGTGCAGTTCCCAGGCGATCTGCAGGCACTGGAACACAGGCCAGGAAGCCGGCCTGTTTACCGGATGCTGCAGGAGGGATAGCTACTTCCCTGGACTCCCAGGTTCCTCTCGTTTCCTGGTCTCGATGGTGGGAGAGAAGATCTGGAGTCTGGGGTGCTTGGCTCCCGCCGGGATTGGGAGCTCTGTGCAGTTCCCAGGCGATCTGCAGGCGCTGGAGAACAGGCCGGGAAGCCGGCCTGTTTACCTCATGATATATCCAGGACTTTTGTGCATGCTAGGCAAATGTACCCTGTCAGCTCAGGGACAATGTTTTATGTCCATGTTTTGTTCATATTATAAAGCATAACATAGAGGTCTTGAGGGCATAATAGTGCTTAAATTTTTTGTTTAGAAACATGTGAAAACATAAAGGTTGGTATTAAAACAGGGGTGGAGAGAATGAAGGTAGGTAGGTATATAAGGACATATTTTTTGTAGTATCCATTATTCACTTTCAGAATTTATCAGCAAGTAGGAAAACCTGCCAAGAGTTTTGGGAAAACACATTTAAAAATGTCCAATTATCCTACATCACTTATTTAGTTCATTTTGTTTCCATGGCAGTAATGGTGTCTAGGTTGTTACTTTAGATTTTTTCTTGGAGAAGAAATGCACTTAAAATGGAAAGCAATTAAAATTAGCAATTTTCACATAGTAACTTTGCTTGTGCAGTTAAATATAAATTATTCTCACATGTAAGCACAATGGATAACTCTATTCTTAATATTTTAATACACAATAATACTGAAACAATTCTCAATACATATCCAGAAACTGGAGTGGTGGCTCATTTTATAGTTCTATTTTAATTTTAACAATTCTAAATACTTACATAGAACAAGACACCTGGACTCAGCTTAGATACCCCATCTGCTATTGTTGATGGCAACAACTAAACCATCATAATAATTTTATAGTTTTATTTTTAAATTATACCACAAAATTATGACAACAAATCAACAAAAACAAAACTACCCAGCTGATACATGGGTGCCCGAAACTGCACATGTTTCTGTTCATTGAAGGAAATAATACCACCACTTAGTCAGGCTGCACCATGCCATTGCATTAAGTCCTCTTCAATACTTCTGTTCTGCATTCTCTCCTATTCTTTTGGTCTATAAAATGTAATTAATTCAGTGTGCTCAATTTATTCCCTCTTCTTTCCCCCCTCTTGCTACCTCCCTCCCTCCACCCATCCTTAACCCTCCTGTTCCTTCCTTCACTGGCTTTTCTCTTTCTTCCTCTCCCTCGTACAACCATTCCTTTCTTGTTCCCTACCCCTGTCCATGTTTGTTGTTTCATTTACTTCAGTATATACATTTGCTTAAAAATTCCCACAGTCAAAATATTCCATTTGTATTCAAGTGTTTTTCTCCTCTATTTAAATCATTTTGTAAATCTATTGATCCCTCAAATCTATAATGAGATCAGTGTATCACAATATTCAAAAATCTGTAAAAGAAGGAGTGCATATTTGAGGAAAACTCTAAACACTGTTATGAGAAAAGATTGGCGAGATCTGAGAACCTGGCCTATTTCATTCTGCCTATCTCTCTAACTCTGCATTTGTAGCACATGCAAATAATGGAAGTCTTTCAGGCAAGACAATATGCAGGTTTGGTACGAATCGATATTTAACTTTTCTGAAGTTATCCTGGCAGTATTCACTAGAAATGTTTTCTTGTTATTTTACTTCTCTAAGGGTTTTGTTTTCATAGGAAGATCCTGTTCTGAGGCTCTTTGTCAAAAGCACTCAACAACTGTTTAACTTTGTCTTCGCTGCAATATAATTATTAACCAACAAAAATTTGATTGTATACTCCATAAAAAGATCTGGAATATGAAATACTGTTATGTGAAATTAAAGGATCTTGTTTATCCCTTGTAATCAAGCAAGTCAAATTCCTGTATAAAGATTTTGGCATGCCAAAGAAAGATGCAAGAGGGTTGAATTTTTCGCTTAAGGCATACATTGAAGTTCTGTCTGAATATGGCAGAATTTTAAGCTACTTGAATACTAGAGAGGTGCTCTAATGCTTAATGTAATGATCCATGACAGAAGATTAATGTTTGTGGTTCAAAGTATTCAACAAGCATATGCGAAATAATTACTGAAGTTTTCACCAATATCTAATTAGGGATTACAGTGATTACATATTAATTACAGGGGATTCCTGCTTTGTACATAGAAATCACTAAACTGTCGAAGACAGAAGGAACAAAATGATGAACCAGACATTCATGCTGGCATTACTACTAGTAATACTAGTGCTACTGCTGCTGCTGCTGCTGCTGCTGCTACTACTACCACCACCACCAATTGAATAATAAAGTAAATGAAACAAATTGTTCAGTGTCTAGCCTCAGGAGTAGATTCAAAGTAACAGCAGAAGAAAAAAATCAAACGCTTATCAAACCTCAGACATCTGTAAAGCAGCATAAAGCATATCAGCATATCACTACCAATAGTACCTGAAAAGAATATGACAAAAGAATAACTCAAAAATCTAAAAGAATCAATTAGTTCCAAAAATTAAAAAATACATTAATCTACATATTTGAAAAGCCTATCCAATTTAAAGTTGACAAAATCAAAATTATTCACACCTAGAACATCATTTGATTTTTCAAACATTTAAAAGAAAAGAAAAAAGTGAAATATCAAAGTGGAAATAGCAAAATGTGTGTCTAGTTACATATATAGAATAGATTTCTGTACTATGAATATAACATTTGAAAGGCTGGGGCTATAGAATTGCTTTTGAGTTCAAGGATGCCCTAGTAAATAGTGAGTTCATTGAGTTCCAAGCCAGTGTGGTTTGCAGTATGAAAACATGTCTCAAAAAAAAGAAATGAAAAGTAAAAAAGGAAGAAGGGTAGTAGGAGGAGAGAGATAAGGAGATAGTGACTGGATAGATATGATAGACAGATAGACAGATAGATAGATAGATAGATAGATAGATAGATAGATAGATAGATAGATAGACAGACAGACAGACAGACAGACAGATAGATAAATAGATAGATAGGTGGAGAAGTATATGTGTTTGTAACTGTACAATAAAATATCATTCAGTCTTCAAAAAGGACATCTCTTTTTTCATAACATGAATATGTTCAAGTAAGATACAAAGAAAGGCAACAGACAATACTCACATGTGCAATCAAGAATAGATAAAATTTTTTAAAGACTAGGATTCTGTTCACAGGGTATATGAATATGTATGTATGTTCTCAGTGTGTTACTGTGTTTTATGATATATATATATTGTGAAAAACAGAGATCGTTTTTTCAATACACTATTTTGGGTATTGAAGATTTTTTGATAATGTGGGGAAATCTCCATCTGACAATTAAATCCCCTACATGATAAGAAATATCATTTTTCCCTGCTTAAAAAAGATTTTTACAAAAGAAATTGCTAAAATAAATGAAAACTGTGAAATTTTTATATGTGAGCACTGAAGATCTGGCTTATTGTTTAAACAAATTTACTGTTCTTCTATAGAACCCAAGTTCAGTTCTTAGCACCCATATCAGGGAGTTCACAACCACCTATAATTCCAGTTCCAGGGGACCCAAGGTCGTCTTCTGATCTTTATAGATGCCCACACATGAGTAGATACACACATAGACATACATGCATACACATAAATGTAAATTAAAATGGAAGTCTTCAAAAATATTTTGAAGGGTTAGATTTAATTATTAGGAATTCATCATAACAGACAAATATATAGACACAATTAACTGAAACTTTATTCAAGTTTGTGCCAAAATTATGCTTAAATATTCTTCACATGCTGTGTTATTACTAATATGCAAACTCATTGTAATAGTTCTATTTCTTATATGTAAAATTCCACTAAAATTGTCCATTGTCTATAAAGGAAACTGGTATTTTGATAATCAATAATTAAGCAGCAACAGAAAATAACATTTCTTTTCTTCAAAAATTAATTCCCTTGTTCTGATTTTCCATAAGCCTCTTCTCAGTTTTTTTCCTTTTATAGTATTAGACAATTTTCTGACTTCCTTTTCAGTGAAAAGTCAAAAAGTAAATAGGAATAATTAAATTAGAATACACTTTTATGTAGTAGCTTATGACACTAATTCACATGTTGTAGTATAACATGATAAAGCAAAGAAATATTTTCATATTGATATTACATAATTCTTCTATTCCAATCCACTTTTCTAGGTAACTTCAGATCTCTCAATAGTGTGGGGAACTTCCTATATCACGATAGAACCTGACAACTCAGTTCCATACACTCTCCATGTATGCCCTTGGAAACGTGGAGAATTCACAGGTATTAAATCCTTCATAAAATATCCTTATTAGTTACATTGCTGGGGGGAAATATGATAGTAAAAATGCAACTATAATTTATTGATATGGGGAAAGCTTATTTTGTCGTTTCTCTCTTAATCCAAATACGTAGCACTGCAGGTAAAGTATTTCATGTCAACTACTTCTTTATCTTGGCAAGTTCAAATAAATCTATAGAAGAAATTTTTACAAGTGCAGGACTTAGTTCAGGGTATATGTTTGAAACTTAGGAGATTCTTTCAAATAATGACATCAATATATAAACTCAAAGGTATTCTATGATAATGCTTTTAGTAATATAGAAATGAGTATTACAAACTTTCTATATCTACTCAATTAGGATATAGAAATAGAGTTAATGCTCGCTATGAAAAAATTAAGTATTCATTTATATAAAGTATCCAGTGAGAGTTGAGCAGAATTATCCTACTAAGAAGATTGTTATATGTTCATTGAACATCATGTTAGAAATGTATTAAGTATATTGTTTATCATCTTGTCTCTGAAAGTATTTACCTCTCATCCCTTAATTTCCTTGATAAAGACTATCTCTACAAAGGATCTTGGTTAACATGATAAAATTTGAAAGTGTGCCCCTATTTCAAGCATCTCAATGGAGTTATTTATTTTGCTGTTGCAGATAAACCTGAAAATGTGAAATGATGGGAATTTTTTTAAAGTTTTATTCTGATTGTCTTTTTTTCTCTTTCCTCAATTTTGAATTGGTTGATTAATTTTACAATTTTAATTAATCTTCCATAACAGAAAATAAGTTGTTTATAAGTTTCACGTTAATTTTTTTCCTTTTTCTTTCAAAGACAGGGTTTCAGTACATAATAAACTTCCCATTACACTTTGCAAATTCTGGCATTGAAGCTACCCACTATCATACAAATACATGTGGATTTTCATAAAATACAATAACTCTTAATTTCCTGTTATACAGAAATCTATGGATTATGTTGCATATGCAAAAATATAATGAATATCATTAAAGAGTATTTTTACTAACTAATTATATTTGTAATAGATTCCTTTTTATTTTGTAAAATCATTTAAACTATTTCCTTATAAAATATCAAGTAATTTACTCAATAATTAGAATTCTTTGAGACTTGTCTTTCTTCTTGAATTTAAACCAAACTACTTCTTAAAATCCTTACACTTAAAATCCTTGATTTTTGCCATTCTAGTAATGTTGAACTAGTTGTATGTGGTCTTTAAGCAGTACTATCACATCAGTTGATGTTGGTTTTATGTAAAATTTAGTTTTATTTTGATGCTAGAAAAATACCTGATATATATTGTCAAATAAGTGCAATTTTTTCAAAGCACATGTCACGTCAATCATTGATTTTGAAAGATCAACACAGAATCTGCTACCTGCCATTATCAGGTTTTAGAAGCTGTATGTCATACATTCTCCCAAAAATAAATATGTAATCATACATAGTCTTTAAATAATACACGAAAGATCATGAGAGGTATAAAGTTATAAAACTCAGTTATCATTTAAAAGTATAATGAAGTCAAAGAAATTTTAATGAAATTTACTCATTTTGACAGGATGAGAGCATCCCAAATTTGTGTGTCAATTGCAGTAATAAGAAATCCATTCCTCTTTCTTTATTCCCATAAAATATATTACAATCGCTTTATAAATAACTTTTGTGCTTTGTGCTCCTTTACTTTTTGAGATATGTTTCAAGAGGAAAGCTGGTATAGAATAACAAATAGCAAACTTGTGGATGTTTCGATATTATATGTCAAAAGTGGAATGGCAGTTTTTACTCCTAGGAATAGTACATTAGATAGGAGCTATTACTTAATGAAGTGATGATTCACAGTAGAAAGAATTGCAAGTTTGAAACTATAATACTTTTCTTCTTTATACTTTTCAGTATTATTTTTATAGGGGTACATATTTCCTGAATCTGTAGCCATTGCAACAATTTTGTTAGTTTTATTTATGTTTTAACTAACCATTATTATTGTTTCTAACCTTGTTTCTTGTCTCTATAACATTTTCCATAGAGTTAAGTGGCATAACATTTTCCCACTTTACAGATTGGCATAGGTCAGTGCTGAGCACGCCATGAATCACTTTTGCTAGTTTTTACCATGCCTTCCATCTAGATTGTAGAGCATTGAAAAGTATGCGTAAATCTATGAGCATAAAACATTTCTGCACACACACACACACACACACACTGTTATAATAATAGGTTCTTAGATGGAATCATTATATGGAGTGTGAAAATCTAGATTAATAATTTAAGTTACTGAGGAAGAAACTGTCTGAATCAGTTTTGAAATTAAATATATTGTGGTTATCTAAAGGATTATATTGGGCTTGTTGTCTATTTTTATTAATAAAGAAGCCTGGGATTTTGAGGGGTATAATAGAAACAGTTCTAGATATTCAAGGAGGAACAAGAATAATATTTCTATTCCTTGTAGATATTAATAGACATTAAAAGAACATTTAAAAACATGTATAAATGCAATATATTAGTGGCGTTTGATTTAATAATATCAGCTGTATTCATTCAAATAAAGCATGAAATAACAATGGAAAGAGAGATAAGCTGGTGATTATGAATTTCTCAATTCTTGTCAAGTCTTCATCTTCTGACTTTCACCGTGGTAGGAACAAAATGTGTTCTACTGATGATAGTATAATGTCACATGTCAAAGATATTGAAAACCATAAAAACATAATTCCTGCCCAGAAGATCCCAAGGACTACTCCTGTGGCTGAATGACATAGCACCAAACCTAGAGAATATAGTCTATTTCATACATTTTGTCTATGATTTAGAGTTAAATATAATTACCAATTTAACATTGTGGTGCAGTAACTACAAACACATGCTACCCTATACATGACTACAAATGAAACTAAAACAAATCATGTGAGTACATTCTTTCCTTTATTTCTGAATAGGATTTACTTGGAAATTTTGATGTCTCCATACAGTATTGTTGATGCTGACCACAAATGTCCATTAAGTTTAAATTTGTTAAAGTCGTGAAGCATTTTCTTTACTGCATATTTCTAAGTCTTCAATATTTGGTACATAAAAGTATAAAATTACCTTATTTGCGCAAACTTTGGTTAGGATAGGCATTGCTCTGTTTATTATATTTGCTTCTGCTATGTGCTGCTTTCTATTGTTCCATTATATTTTAGTATATTCTAACAGTCTCCTGGCTTAGTATTGTGTTAAAAATGAATTTTAAACATTAATGAGTCAGCCTACGAAATATGTATTTAAATACCTTCACATAATATTCACTGAGATTGTTAGACATGACTAGATTCACAATAAAATGTAAGGCTTTTACATGCAAACACTGAAACTAATTTTCTATAATAGCACTGTGTGACAAAATAGAAAATAACCTGTTACGTATTTTTAAACAATCTGATAATTACAAATGTAAATGGAAGTTCTGAATATATAGCTCAGTTGTAAAAAGCTTCCCTCATGTGCTGAGCAAACTCTGAAACAGAAGAAATAAAATAAAATATGTGATATTGTTCTTACATATTTACTTCACACAAATATTATAACCTTAAAATATAATATATTAAATTATTAGCAATATACATTATATGTAGGTGTGTGCACCTATTCATGATACATATCAAAATTACCACCATACCTACTTAATCATCACACATGGCTAATGGCTTCCATTAGCCATTCTAAAGTTAAACATATTGGACGTTTAGTCAGCTATTTTGGAAAAAAGCATAGTCTAGAAACACCATATCACTTGTATGTCTCACCCAAATAGGTGAAAATACATTTTTTCCACATTAATCACTTCTTTCTCTTATCCAGAAGCAATGTGGACAGTGTCATCATGGTTTCTATCAACCAGATATAAAAATGATATAAGTAAAGTTGCCATATACATAAAACTTAATAGTGAATTTACATGTTCTTAGAATATATATAATGACTTAAATTCACCATTATGTGAAATCTAAGAGAATTTTGATGTTTTATGTCAATTATATTTGTCTTTATACGTAGTATAAAACTACTAAATCCATTTATATTATACTTGTAGGTACTAGCCAACGCTATTTGATTATGATGTATGACTAGGAATACATGGTTAGTGTGCAAATTCTGTACGTGCTAAGCTGATACTGAATGATCACAGCCAATTTCTGAATTATTTTCTACATATAAGTATACTAATCTCAGTTTTTTATATCCCTGCCAATTTTAAATGAGTTCAATTTACATAACAAAAATTGCAATGAAAATTTCACCACTTACAGTCTTAGGACAGAATGCAAAATATTTTATGTCTGAAATGTTTATGGGAAAGATGAAGCTTGGAATAGTATTCCAAATTTATAAAACAAAATAGTTTGTAAGTAAGATAATAAGTGGGAATTTTATGAATGTTTGAAGAAGAAAATAGATAAACACAATCATCCAAGATCACTAAGTTACTGAAAACTAATGCTGAGAAAGTATTGACCAATTTTCTTATTATAGTAAATCTGTTGAAAAACAACTATTAATGTTTTAATAATGTTTCCTTTAAATTTTGATTAAATTGTTCTATAGTCTGTTTATATTTAACTCTGGTACTACCATTTAGAATTTATATTTGGTATGCAATTCATAGTAACTTTGATGCTTGAGACTAACCATTTCAGAAACACCCCACTGTTTAACTGGCATCCTGTAACTATGTGTTACAGGTGCAATTACATTTTCCGTTAAGAGCAGAGATGAGGAAGATTCTCAGGAAGACACAGATCAGGAGAAAGATATCTCTTCTCAGGAAACACCATCAGATCCATCTACCATTATTTTTGAGGAATATTCAGGTAAATTTCTTGTAATAGTGAGTTATTTTGTTGTACTTTGAAAAATCTGATCTTCATTTGTCTTTAAATTAAATACATACTTTAAATGCAGAATATGTAATGTAACTTGTATTGTATTTGCCTCTCAGAATATTGTATTATTTCAGATTTAATTTTATATAGATTATTTTCTGAATTTCTGCTGCTGTAAAATCGCAGAATTATTATACATTACCACAAACATTTTCTATGTTTGCATTAGTGCTACCTTTAGATGCTTATTGTTTTTAATATCTTTCTCCAACCCTTCCCACCCTCCATCTGCTCCGCAGAGAGGTTAAGGCCTTCCTTGGAGAGGCAACAAAGTGTAGCATAAGAAATTGAATTAGCACCAAGCTCTTCCCTCCTTTACCAAGAATGGGCATGGTATCCTACCATAGGGAATGGGCTTCAAAAAGCCATTTCACGTACACAGGATATGTCCTGTTGCCACTGCCACCCCCTAAAGAAAATATCAAGTCACATAACTGTCACCCACATTCGGAGGACCTTGTTTGGTCCCATGCAGATTCCCCACTTGTCAGGCTATAGTCCATGAGCTCCCACTAGCTCCGGTCAGCTGTCTCTGTGGTTTTCCCCATCATACCCCTGATACACCTTGTTCATATAATCCCTCCTCCTCTTCAACTGAATTTCAGGAACTCAACCTGGTTCTTGGCTGGGGGTCACTGCATTTGCTTCCATCAGTTACTGGATGCAAGTTCTATGATGACAAGTAGGGTAGTCACTAATCCTATAAAAGGAGAATGCCCACTCTGACAGTCTCTCCACTATTGCTAAAAGTCTTAGCAGGAGTAATCCTTGTGGGTTGCTAATAATTTCTCTAGCACCAGGTTTCTCCCTATTTCTATAATGGCTCCCTCTATCAAGATATCTCTTTCAATGATCTTTCCCTCCTACTCTTCCCCAACTGGGTCTTCTTGATCCCTCGTGTTCCCATCTCCTTTTACTCCCTCCCAAATTACCAGGGAGATTTTAACTATTTTCCCTTCCTGAGGCCTTCCATGTGTGTCTCTATTATGGCCCCTCATTTTAGCTAGCATCTCTGGGGTTACCATTTTTAGCCTGGTTATCCTTTTCTTTACATCTGATATCTACTTATGAGTCAATGAATACTGTGTTTGTCTTTCCGAGTCTGGGTTACCTCGCTGAATATAGTTTTTTCTAGTTCCATCCATTTGCCTACAAATTTCACATTTTTTAACCACTGAATAGTACTACATTATGTAAATGTACCACATTTTCTTTACCCATTCTTTGGTTGGTAGACATCTAGGTTGTTTCCATGTTCTGGCTATTATAAAAGTCCTTATAGTATGGTTGTGCATCCTTTGGGTGTATGCCCAAGAGCAGGATTGCTGGATCTTGAAGTGGATTTATTCACAAAATTCTGAGAAACCGCCATACTTGTTTCCAAAGTGGCTGAACAAGTTCGCACTCCCACCAGCAAATATCTGCATAAGTGCCAGATACAAAAATTAAATCAAGACCAGATAAATAATTTAAATAGACTTATACCCCCAAGAAAATAGAAGCCCTCATAAAAAGCCCTCTTAACCAAAGAAAGCCCAGGGCCGATGGTTTCAGTGCACATTCTACCAGACTTTCAAATAAGAGCTAACACCAATATTCTTCATATTGTTCCACACAATAGAAACAAAAGAAACATTGCCAAACTTTATATGAGGCTACAATTACTCTGATACACAAACAACACAATGACACAACTCAGAAAGAATCACTGTCCAGTCTCCCTAATAAACATTGACACCAAAATATTCAACTAAAAGCTGGCAAACTGGATATAAGAAGACATGAGAAAAAAATCACTCACCATGATAAACTAGGCTTGATACCAGACATGCAGGGATGGGTCAGCATATGGAAATCTGTCAATGCAATCCATCCTATAAATAAACTGAAAGAAGAAAACCACACGGCCATCTCATCAGATGCTAAAACAGCCTTCAACAAAACCCAATACCCCTTCTTGTATTTTCTTCTCATAAAACTTAAACATTGTGAAATATATTTTTGAAGTGCAAAAGAGAATGTTTCATTAGAGAGTTTGAATAGTCAGAGTATGTTTCTGGGAAAATGAGTTGTGTGAATATAAGGGTCATGAGCAGGTTTTTGAGAGGCATGAACACAAACATGCAAAATTCTCAAAGCAAAGATGCATACCAAGAAGATATTTATGTATTTATGTTTCTTCATTCTTCCCTCATACAATACATCCTGACTGCATTTCTAGTGAATTTATTTGTGTTGCAATTCTTTAAAAAAGTAGCAGCAAGAGATGTCTTCTCTATTTGTCTGCCCCTCTTCCCATACACATGCATGTGCACAAGCACATACACACCCCACACATATTATATACACACACAACCTCCATGAACACATACACACTGTACCTATCTATTACCGGTGCAATTACGTTTTGTGTCAAAATCAGAGAGAAGTGAAGTTCTTAGGAAGACACAAATCTGGAAGAATTTGTCTCTTTCTCTGTGTGTTTACGGATAAATAGGTGTCTCTTTCTCTGTGTGTTTATGGATAAATAGGAACCTGTCTGGCCAAGTGTGGTGGTAGCAAATGCATTTAGCCCCAGCACTTGGAAAGTAGAGGAAGACAGATGTCTGTTAGTTTGATACCAACCTGGTTTACACAGAAACTTTCAGGCCTGCCAAAAATGAACTTATCAAGACTTCCTCTCTTTCCTACTTTCTCTAACTTACAATTCTGAATGTGTCCCAGATCCATTTATTTTTATATATTTTATTAAACCTATAGGCTGTACAAGATAGTATAAAATGGAATAGATTGATGAAATATACTGTGTAACACAGCATTGTATGTCATTCATTGTCATATGAAGTCACAAAAAGTGCCTTTTAATACAATGCATTGCAGTGCCATACAAAATCGTGTACACATGGAAATTTCAGAAGAGACACACTGATGATACCACTATTGTAAGCCCCTAATTCACTGATAAACAGAGAACAAGGGAAGTTATTAAATTACCTATATAATTCAATCTACAGTCACAGTTCTTGAAAAATTTAAACACAATATTTAAACACATAATCAGCACTATGAAAATATTCACCATGAGATAGCTCATGCCAACATTTGGGACTCTGAGGCATGAGGATCATGGAAGTTTAATACCAACCTGGGTCACATAGTGAGTGCAAAGAAAAGCGGGAGGAAAGTAAATAGAAAAGAAAGGAAAATTTGAAAATGGTTTATGGATTTCGCATTAGTATACAATTCTGAAGTCTGTATTGAGTAGTGTTTTTTGTTATCTCTTTAGTTTTTCTTTTGTTTTTTTTTTTCAGATGAGAAGGTTAAAAGTTTAAAAATCTGGTATCATCTTGAGATCCATAGTGCTCCTGGACCTCCTGCAGACACAATTGAACTTCACTGTATTGCTCTGGTAAGAGCCTAGTACATGTTGAGAAGCTGTCATTTGGGAAATAGAGCTGTTATACTATGTTTGTGTTCTTAAAACATACATCCCAATGATATACTAAGATTAATCAATCAGAGCCACTCTAGATCTTAAATGCTTGGAAGAAATATATTTTAGTTATATGGCATCTTGTAGTAACTTCCCTGTTTAGGATTCTGCCTGAATATTCAGCAATTACGTAAGTATAACTTTACCTTATCTCCATATTCTACATATATGTGGTGAAAGTGGAATGGTGCTCTCTAGACTCCATCATGCATTCTTCTCAATATCCACAGTAAATTTTTACTTTGAATTTTATTTAGAGTCCTAGGGTAGATTTGGGAGCCTGGGATTAAAGGCATACTCCACAAATGCCTGGGGAGATTTTCTTAATTAAGTTATTCATGTATTAATAAATCTGTGTTCAAAGTTGCTTAATAATTTCAAATATTATTGGTCTAGATTTAAGTGAAACAAGATGATATTAATTGCTAATAATAGTTTAGATATAATAAATCTATTCTTTGCATCCGGAAATTATATTGGTCATAATTAAATAAGTGTTATTTTCATAGAATCTTTAAATTTAGCTCCTAATAATATCAAGTACGAAAATATTTCTAATACTTTAAGTCTGTAACTTGATTATATCCTAAAGTGTTTTCAGGCTGAATCTCCATTGAGGCATAGAAAATGCATGATGAAAATATTGAAGTGCGTTCAAATGTAGCTTGCAAAGGCATTATCTTCTAAGTGGGAAATTATTTACCTTTGATGATAGTAGGATCATTTCACTCAATGAATATGCCCTATTTTCATGTCCTAGTATTTGTAATAATGTGGAGACTTACTTAATGGGCTATTTTCATTTATTTAAAATAGAAACAATCTTATTTTCCAAATCAGTCAAAGATCCCCCTCCCTCCCAGCCTTCCATATCCCTCCAATGACCCCCTACCCCATTCCCCATCCACTCCTCACGGAGGGTGAGGCCTTCCATGAGGGATCATTAAAATCTGTCGAGATATTTGGGGCAGGGCCTAGACCCTCCCTGTGTATCTAGGCTAAGAGAGTATCCCTTCAAGGGAAATGGGCTCCTAAAGTCCTTCCCGCACTAGGGATACATCCTGGTTCCACTGCCAGAGTCCCCATAGACTGCCCAGTGCTCCTAGCTGGCACCCACGTTCAGGGGGCCTGGATTGATCATATGCTGGTTCCCCAGCTGTCAGACTGTGGTCAATAAGTTACCACTTGCTCAAGTCAGGTGTTTATGTGGGTTTTCCTAGCAAAGTCTTGACCCCTTTGTTCGTCACTCCTCCCTCTCTGAAACTGGATTCCAGGAGTTTGGATCAGTGCTTGGCTCCAGATCTCTGCTTCTGTTTCAATCCACTCTTGGATGATGGTTCTAGGATGGCATTTAAGGTAGTCATCATTCTCATTATAGGGGATGGGCATTTAAGGTAGCCTCTCCACTATTGGTTAGGGTCTTAGTTGGGGTTCTTTTGGATCTCTGTATAAGTCCCTAGTGCCAGATTTCTCTTTAAACCTACAGTGTCTCCCTCTATTGATGTGTCTCTTTTCTTATTCTCCTCGATTCCTCTCCCCACTCAATCTTTCTGATCCCTCATGTCCTCTTCTCCCCTCCTTGTTTTCCTACCTCCCTTCCCTCTCCCCCAATACTTTGTTCAGACACTCTTGTCCCTGTCTGCATCACTGGAGGACGATGTATGTCCTCTTTGTTTCCTATCTTCTCTGGAGGATGAAATGTAGGCTGGTAATCCTTTTCACTATGTCTAGAATTCATATATGAGCTTATGAAAATGTGTGTGAATAAAACTTCATGTGGTACACATGAAAAGAGAATGCTAGAACAAATTCAAGATGGAAGATGTGTAATTAATGTTTTTTTGAGCAAGTTCAACATTTTAAAGATAACAAAGATTTCTTAAGTTTTAGTATCTTTGGGAATTTGGAGGAAAAATTATAACTGTTTTGAGATATCGATATCTACATTTGAAAACAAAATGTACTGTGTATGGAAAAGAGAAGGAGAGGTCAGATATGCCCATCTCTTCAATGGGGAGTATATGCTAACTTGGTGACAACTTTACATATCCAGAGGGTTGAACAGACCAGGTCCTGTAAACCTTCTTCCCCAAACTGGGAAATTTCTAGGTAATCCTGAGCATTGGAAATGGGATCAGGAAAAGCAGCCAAGTAAAAGAAGTATTGACTGAGTTTGAATTTCCTTAAATATATGAAAAAATAACTTTCCATATTGGGAGCTATTTTAAGATAACTTCAGAGACTTGAGAAGGTCAGTTTTCTTCACAGATTTGGAGAACAGTAATCAAGAAAAAATTGTCAACTGAGGTATTCAGTTGATAGATATTTGTGTGACAGAGGGTCGGTTTTCTTTGGTAGTCAGCCCCTTGCATCCTCCAATAATTTGCTAGCATCCCTGAATATATGGGCAGCACTAGTTAGGCTCCTTCAGGTAGAGTAGCAAGAGGAGAAAGAGGAAGAGAAGATAGAGACATGAAGTTTTAATGGTGACTTGGTTCAAATTGTGGGAGCATTTCTATGGAAAAGTTGGGGGGCTATGAGTAAAATACACTGTAGCTATAAAACTGCCTTCCAAAACACATTATACATGTGTATAAATTACCATACAGCAAATTTAAAATGTTATACTTTTTAAAACAATGCAAATCTTCACATTACACATCACGAAATTTAATCCACTCAGTGTACACCGTTACTGTTACAGTGAAGGAACAGTTACATTTAGAAATTACTATCTCTGAATAAAAACACTTTTGGGTAATCATGAAGGTAGATTGAAGATTGTAGGAGTGCTCCCATATGGATATACAAATAAATGTATAAGCACTGGGAACACACTTAGCTTGACAGGAAAAGATGAACGAGTCCAGTCATTTAGGAAAAGAAGAGGCATGTGGGATGGGAGTATGAACCAAATAAGTGGAAGGAGGATCATGTAAACCCATGAGTTTCCTCATGACCAGATCTCAGAGAGATTCAAAAGGCATGGCAGATTTTATTGCATGTGTTACCTTGCCAATAGAGCATGTAAAAATACTTACTTGTTTCATGGTGTTTTTAAACATCTCGAAATGCTGTTTGCATTGCGATAAAAGTAGTAAACTCATGAATGAAATCTATACTGAAAGTATCTTACATTTCTCTAAAAGCCAACATGTATGTTAAGATTGCCTCTGAAATGGTTTATAACACAAAGTTTTTAATCTTTTAATACACATTTTTAAATAGTATTACAAATTTATATGGATACCTCTCTATTACTTTTGTTGATGAGTTCCCCTATTTTAATGTTTTTGTATTTCACACGATTGACTATGCATATAGAAGCAATTTTTAGCATATGCATTATTCTGTCTAAATTATTATTAAGTACAAGGAAGAGAACAATGCTGGATGCATTATAAAGGACTGCTTTATTGTTGAACCTAAAAGAACTTGTAAGAAGATGAAAGATAACTTTAGAACTCTCCATGTACACTCATTACTATTTCACTTGAGTTTCAAAAAAATAAGCCAAAACATATTTAGGTTTTATTCTATATATACATAAGCTTCAAAGGCTTACTAATCAAAGTAGAGGACTATGACGTTGTAAAGACAAATAAAAGCCAAATGTTGTAAACTTTTAAGAAAGTACTTACATAAATTTAACTCCTCAAGTATAAAAGTTAATTTATCATAAATTGAGTGTGGAATATGGTGGGAAACATTGACCAAGAAGACATTAAGTATTTTGTGACTGTAATTTTCTGGCACCATGCACGATGATACATCATATTATGTTATTAAATCAAAATGATGATGTATTTCTGCAATTATTCAGATAGCCAAAATGCATACTCAGAAAGGTTGATCATCTAATAAAATAGTGAATGACATACTTCCTATCCTACTGAACATATCAAACATACATAGAATATATGATTTGTATTACTAAGAAGTATTTGTATCTATAAAAGCACTGTGATGTTAGTGCCTCACTATTTACATTCCCACATCCTGTCTACCCTTATGATTTAGGGAACCACAGCTTATTACAATTTTCATGTAAAATAAATACTTACTTGTAAATTTTAAAGTGATTTCAAATCGTGGCTATAATCCCAGAATTGCAGATTGGGAACAGAATTGTGGGTTACAGGATAGTCTGGGCTTCAGAGTAAATTTTTGACTAATGAAAGCAAACAATTTTATTTTACGTTCCAGTTTTATTACATTTATTATTTATTTTATGTTCCAGTTTTATTGCATTTAGTATTTCTTTTATGTTTAAGTTTTACTGCATTTAGTGTGTGTGTGTGTGTGCGTGCGTGTGTGTGAGGGGAGGCCAGCATGGGACTTATCTGGACCCCCCAAATGTGAGTGTCAGTGAGAAGGCCTGGGCAACCTATGGGGCCCTGAGCAGTGGATCAGTGTCTATCCCTGGAATACAAACAGTCATCGTGTGCCCATAGTAGGTTCTCTTTTTCTATATGGGTCTTGGGAACTTAGCTTAGGTTGTCAGACTTGGTAGCCAGCACCTATTTCCATTCTGATGACCCAGAATTATTATAAGACATAAAATGTAATGAAAAATAATAATAAGTATCAAAACATATCAGATAATAATAGCCTACAGATTCTGTTGTTTGTTTTGTTTTTCTTGACTTGATGTGGTTGGACTTATTTATTGCTATAACTATGATTAGTTTATTTATTTATTTTTGTATCCTCACATATTCCTATAACTATGATTATTTTTAATTAATTATTTTTTGAGCCTTGGAAAGCATCGTGCCATGAATGAGTTATCGCCAGAGGAAATACTGGAAAATGGAATTCATGGGAATAAAGCTATTGGAAAAAAATAAAGCAAGTGGCCTTAAGTAATAGTTTTATTTCTGTTTGCTTCCCTAGACAAATGATTATCCTGACAACAAAAGTTGATCATGTCTTTCTTTTCTTTCATTATCCTAGGAGACTGTCTGCATCGAAATTCCCATCTCCAATCCAAAAGATAGAATTATTCGTATGGATGTGAAATTAACATCCTCTTCTCTTAATGGACCAGAGGAAATGACACTGAATCCATTGGAATGTGTGAACTACATTGTGTGGTATTCTCCAGCAACTACAGGCTATAAAGAAGAAAGGTGGATTTGGGCACTTATCGTTATTTGTTGCTGAGTCTTTGAAGAAGTTAGGGCTATTCTTTAATAATATGTACTAATTGACAATGAATTTTTCTTTGCCTCAGTGTAAAATTAGTAGTCACTGACATAAAATTAAAACATGTCAACTTTCCTCATTTTGCTATTTACAAGTCAAATCTTCCTTAGTGTAACAACTGCACTGAGAATGGTTCATCAGATCTAGGGATTTAACTGTTACTTTTCTAGATAAAAATTCATGTCTCCTTTGAGTAACTAGCTATAGATCATTTGCTTGCAAAACATAGACAAAATTACGTTACAAATATTATCCTCTAGTGAAAGCATATGCATCCGTGTACATTCATGCTTGTATACACACACGTATATATTAGCAGTGTAGTTACTGTAGTACTGTAAGTAAATTGTCACAGAGAATGATGACTATGAAAATCTTCTGTCATAATTCCTATCATAAAAGTAGCTACTTATAATTTTTTATTACTTTAATTTTAAATAGCTTTCTTCACATGTCAATCCCAGTTCCCTCACCCTCCCCTCCTCCCACACTTTCCCACCATCTCCCCAGCCTCCCACCCTATCCCCACTTCCTTCCACATAGGGGATATGCAGAGTCTGTCATTTCATTCAGGGCAGGGTCCAGGCACTCCCCTAAGAGTCCAGGCTGAGAGAGCATCCCTCCTGTCAGTCTGGGGTCTAAGAGCTCCCCCTTGTTCATATCAGCTGTCTCTGCTGGTTTCACCAGCCCATTCTTTGCCCATTTGCTCATCGCTCCTCTCTCTCTCTCTCTGTCACTGGGAGCCATGGGTTCAGTTCAGTATTTAGCTGTGGGTGTTTGCCTCTGCTTCCATCAGTCACTGGATGAAGGTTCTAGGATGGCATATAAGGTAGGCGTCAAGTTCATTATAAGGAATGGGCATTTAAGGTAGTCTCTAGACTATTTCTTAGCTTGCCAGTTGGTGTCATTCATTTAGATCACTAGAGGTCTCACTGCTGCCAGATCTCTCTTCAAACCTATGACTCCCTCTATTATGATATTTTTCATCCTGTTCTCCCCCTATTCTACCCCCACTTATAATTCTAATGAATGAGTTCTAAAATAACATATATCTTAGACTTTAAAGGATAAAATTCATAATAGTATAAATCAGGAGAAGAATATTTTATTACCCTAGCATGGTGGCTCACATTTGTAATCCCACCACTCGGGAGACAGGGGGATCTTTGAGTAAGAGGCAAGCCCAAACTACAAAGTGAGTTCTAGACCAGTTTTTGACCTGGTTCTCAAGACCTAGTCTTGTCTCAAGACATTAACAAAATTTAAAAGTAGAACCATAAGGAGAAGAGCAGGTTTTTAATGGAAAAAAATCTTGTAATATATTACCATTAGAAATGTGGGCGTCACTCGTCCCTCTTATGCTTTACAAGTATCAATTGAAAGTTCGTTTTTGTCTATTTGTGTGTGTTAGGCATAGTCTAGTCTTGTTATTTCTGGCTTACTTTATTATTATTGTCTTAGTATATATTTTATGTACATGAAAATCTTGTGGCAAGTGTAAAGTAAGGCTAACTGATTCACCACATTTTCTAAATAATGAAATTCTAATTCAAAAGGTTAAGTGACGTGATTGAAGTTATACAAAGAACACAATAAAGCTCAGATATCAACCCAGGGATACATTTACACTTTAGAAAACTCTTACCTTCTGAGGGCTGAACATATTTATGATGGATTTTATATGAATGTGTGCATACATTCAATTCAATACAGTAATTTTGATTTAACTGCAGCTATAGACCATGATGCTTTCTAACACTGATATTTAAAATACATGTAATCACCATTCATTAAACAAATATTTATTAATTGTGTATTAATTCCAATATTTCTTTTTTTAATGAAGTAATCTTCCCAACAAAAGTTGAAAAGTTACAAATTCATTCATAATATCACTGGAATATATAACACAGTAGCGATGAAATACTATATTTGAAACCAGATATTTCCACCATTTTATATTTTGCTCTACCATATTATACAAACAAACAGCTGACAAGATTTTCAAAATTTCTCTACAACAGCATTATTTTTCAGCCTGAAATGGGTGAAGAGTTCTGGTATTTACTAAAATTAACAACTGATCTTCCAAAAGCAAAGCAAATACCGGAAATGCAGTGTGACCTTGGAAAGTAAGTTCCATTTAATAATTTTGTTATTTAAAAAAATTGAAAAACAATTGTTTAAGGCATTTGACCTTTTAAAATACAATGTAAGTTTATTTCTAATGGGAAAAACATGTCAAGAGAAACAGATTAAGATGTGGTTAAGAATTCCCTATCAAAGATGCTTGCAAAGGACGGAAGGGACTATTGCAGTGCAGAGCCAGCCCCTGTGTTCAGGTACACAAAGTAAAATGTGAAAGGTGATTCTTTTGTGAGGTAAAGGAGAGCAAAATTGGACAAGGGGAATAGTCAGTAGCATCTAATAGGGAGGGAGTCTCACTGTACTTAGCTCATTCCCAATAGACACTAGGGGAAATGGAACATATTATTGTACACATATGCTTTGAGTGAACGATTAAAGAAAAGCCTGGTTGAAGTGTGCTTTGCTGAAAGCAATGGGTATGCCATAAGGAACTGTGAACCTCTGGCCACTAGATTGACACTTTCTTCCCTTTTAGGTACCACATTCACACTCAGATAGTCAAGATCTTTTTTTAATCTATGTCACCAAAGTTGATTATGGTAAACAAAAACAAATAACCTATAATTCACTTAAAATATATAGTCTAGTGAGTAATAAACACCTTTTACTTAATGTCTCTTCCTCAGCACACACAAAAAAATGTTAAATTCTTGCATTACTAGGTGTTGGGCCAAAACATCAATGCATATAACTAACTGAGAAAACAAAATAACCAAAATAATGATGGAAACAGCATATGAAAAGGAAGTGCTAAGTTCAAAAGTGACAGCATGTACAGTTCTTCACTCCTCGGTCTTGCAAAGACATATAGAGCTTAATTCTCACACTTTTTAGTGCATTATAAAGCATAATTTAGTGCATTATGTTTTTGCTCATGTGCTTACTTTTTTGTAGTCTGGCACTATTCCATTTTATTTTTAATTAAAATAATATGTATGTAGGGTACAATGCCATATTTTCATCTATTGAGACTAATTACAAAAGCCATCTTCAAACTGATTTTTATGTATGTATGCATGTAAATACATATGTATATTTGGTGTATATGCATGTACATATTTGTTCAGGTACATATTTTTGCATGTGGAAACCAGAGATCAACCAACCTTCCGTATCTTTCTGTGTCATTCTCCATCTTGTTTTCAAATAGATTTCTTGGAAGGCAGCTATGCTCACCACTATACCACCAACGCTCAAATAGATTTCTTAACTTAACCTGGAGCTCATTGATTCAGCTGGGCTGTCCATCTAGTAAGCTCCAGGTATCCTCCTGCTTTTGCTTCTTCAAGAATGGTTTAACAGACAAAACACATGCTTCTATATCAGCTTTGTACTTTGTGAACAGAAGTTTCTGTCCTATCCATCCTGCAACCATTTAATCCCAAATAAACACACAGAGGCTTATATTATAAATTGTTTAGCCGATGGCTCAGGCTTCCTATTGGCTCACTCTCTCGTAATTATTAACCAATTTAGATTAATCTATATATCTGCCCATTGTTACGATAGTTTTCTGTCCTGGCAGGGTCCTGCCACCCTCCTCTGCCCCGAGAAGCACAGAGACATTATATTTGTTATAAATCTGTTGGCTGTTGGCTTGGATTTCTTATTGTATATCTCTGTCTTAGTTATTAAACCATCACTATTAAACTAAGTATTTCCACGTGGTCTTATCTTACCGGAGAAAGAGTCCAGACATTTTACTCCTTTTGTGTCCTACATGGTAACTGAGTCAGCTTGAGGATGATTTCCTGTTTGTCCTTGCTTATATCCTGATTCTGCCTAGCTACGTCACTTCCTGGGATCACATGACAACTCCTGTCTGCCTATACTTCCTAGAATCCTCCTTGTCTCATAGTCCTACCTATCATTCTGCCTGGCCAATCAGTATTTTATTCATTAACTAATAAGAGAAACATACATACAGAAGAGCATTACCCATCACCCTGTGGTTTTGGCTTACTGGAGAATGCCCAGGCATTCTACCTTCCTGATAACTACATGGCATTTCCTTCAAGACACCTCTCCACATTCCTCTTCGCAGAATTCTCTTAGTCTACTAGCCCTGCCTATACTTCATGCCTGGCTACATTCTGTGTATCTATTGTCTCAAGTAGCTATATTCATCCACCAATAAGAGAAACATATATTTACATCTTACAGAAGGACATCCCCCATTGGTAAGTGGGTAATGGAGAACCACACTTAGGAGATCATGCTTGTAACACCAGCACTTTACTGACTCAGACATTGCATAAGATCCTATTTTTTCTTTATGGTGATAACACTTAATAACCTTTCTTGGTGCAGTTTTGGAATAAACAATGAAGAATTGCTTATCATGCTTAGGTTTTTGAACTCTCATGTTAGTCTTCCTTAGCATTCTTAGCCTGAACCTACAATCTCCAGGTTCCTTTGCTCTCTGTAGACTTGAGGGCACTCTAAGATTAAAAAAAAATCAAGCAGTTGGGCAGTTCCACAAATCGTGAACAGCAGTCATGATGAAGTTAAGTATGAGAGCAGAGAATAACTGGTTAAAAAGATTCTTTTAGGAAAATTGAGTGATGTACTAACACTTTCTTCAACACAGTATTTATAAAGTAATTTACAACTTCTGAACATTTCTCATATTTTAAAATACTAATATATATGAACTGATAAAATGGCTTCAGGGATAAAGACTCTTTATATGAAGACTGATGATCTGCTCTTTATATGAAGACTGATGATCTGAATTGAATCCCCTAAACACACGTGATGGAAAAAGAACATTAACTCTTGTCAGTTGTCCCCTGACTTCCAAATACATGCTGTGTCCATAAAATCTTTAGTGTAATGAAAATACTAATGTTAATGTATGAAAGCTATATATAACTATAGCTTTTATTTCATACATATACATATATGTATGTATATATATATAAATGCAAGAACATTCGCCGGGCTGTGGTGGCGCATGCCTTTAATCCCAGCACTCAGGAGGCAGAGGCAGGCAGATCTCTGTGAGTTCGAGGCCGGGCTGGATCGACAGCCTCCAAAACAATACAGAGAAACCCTGTCTCGTTAATAAATAAATAAATAAATAAATAAATAAATAAATAAATAAATGCAAGAACATCCATGACATGATCCACAAATAGATTTCAGAAGACACTTTTGCACAGTTAATTTTTTCTATCTACCTTAATGTATATTCCAGGGATTAATTCATTTGGTTAGGCTTACAGTACAAGCTATGCCATTATACTGGCAATTTTTTTTCTTTTTAACTTATCTTGGATTTTTAAACTATGTTTTTCTAGTTAGAAGGCAGATCTCTGAGTTAGAGGCCAGCCTTGTCTACAAAGTTAGTTCCAGTTTTAATGAATTTAAACTGTATCCTTATCAGTTTTGGAAACTAGTAAGAACTTTGAGCACATTCAGCATTCTGTCTTAAAGGTATGTGTAACATGAAAAATAAATGACTCAGTGACTGATATTGGGATTCAAACTTCAACCTGAAGTTCAGAAAGACAAAGCAGCCTGCCATTAGCTCTCCCCTCTACCTCAGGCTGAATCCTGTCTCCATGAACTCTCACCAAGACTCAGAGTGTACCCTCTCCTCAGAGAATGAATGCTCCTAACTTCACTGTGGCTGGTGAACAAATGAATCTACTTACACCTTGCTTTTGTCTTATATAATTCAATAATGTGGGGATTAAAGGTGTAAATTATGATTGTCTTTTAGACTGATTCACTCTTGTATAGATCTGGGTGGCCTTGAACTCAGAGAGATCCTTCTACCTCTTAATCCTGAATCCTAGAATTAAAGGTGTGTACCATCACCTCCTAGCTTCTGACTGCTGGGATTAAAGGTGTGTATCATCACTACCTGATCTCTGTAGCCTTGAGACTGCCCTTTCTTTTCTGAATCCTCAATCAAGGCTTAATAAATCATAAGTAATATATCAATAGAGATATGTCTTGCTGTGTCTCTATGTTCATTATATTTAAGATAAATGAACACTCTTAGATAAATTTCTGGCTTTCAGTTTCTGAAATCTCCCAAAGTTATGCCTTTTCTTTGTTTTCTCTCTTCTTCCTACAGATGTGATTTGGACTTATTATTTGTAACTGGTTTGGAATTTTTCAGTATTCTTTTGCCCTTTTTCCTTTCATTTGCCACTTTCTAACCTGACAGGTTAGCTCAGTTTTATCTTCCAGAGCTTTTATTGAGTTTTTACTGTGTCAACATCAATAGCCATTCATTGTTACTCTAGAAATAACTCTTTAAGCACATAAATGGTAAGTAGGACATTCTATTTAAGAGCTCAGAATTCTGGAGGAACAGGTACGCATTTAGTGGTACACAGCTTTGTATTGAGTGAAAGCGGAAATGTATATGTGAAGCCATTTCTACTGTCTTCTGACCTGTTATTCAGTGTCATTGCATTCACTGCTAGTAGAACAGTAGCATACCTTACTCTCCTTGATGGAATAGACTTTTTATATCATGAACTTCAGTCAACACTGATTTGAAAACAGAGTTATCTTCACAAATTCACTTTGTGTACTTTTGTACTAAGACCAATAGGTATAGATTCCAGATATTTTATTCTAGTACCAAAACTATGATCATTTCATTATAACTAGGTGTAAATCCATTTTGAGAAAACAGTAATTGTTTTCTTCAAATTATGTTTGAAAATAAGCATATACACACAAACTTATGTTCAGTCTTTTGTTTCTTAATCATCATAGAAAGTGTGACAAAGACAAATGTCTGTTAAAAACCAATAGGAAAAGTCAGAAACATCTGAAAAGTTTTCTTTCTAGAGTCAATACCACACCATAAGAAATAATGAACCTGCCATAACCTAAGTTGTAAGTACTGATCGTATTTGAAGTAAATTTTATAGAACACAATTCATATTGAATCAAAGGACCACTTTTTCTCATCTGACTTCAGTTTAACAAAGTTAGGTGCATATATCTCAAATTGTATTTGATATCATGTTTTGTGTTACTATTGGTAAAAAAAGTTCAACATACACATTTCTGTGTTCTATAGCATTGTTTAAGATCTATTAGTTAATTTCCATACATGACAGATGAGTAGCATTTTATTATTTCTTCATTGAGTATCATTACTTTGAATTTAAATTGATGTGTATTTGTTACACAATCAAATCAGACAAATTTTTCTCATAAATGTATGCAAATATTATACATTAACATAGTTTTTAAGGAGGAGGAATTTTAGTTGATACTGGAAATGTTTATTAAATTGTCACTGATAAATTTATAAGCACCAATCAATTTACTAATTTTTATTTTCCTCCCAGGAAGATCATTCAGACCCTTCCTTTATATAATCCTACTCAAGAAACATTAGAATTGAAAGTAGGCAACAGTAATCCTGAAAATTTTGTCGTGGATATTAACAAAAAAATACCAGTAAGTACATTCAGAAATTCTTGAAACTGATTGCTACAACTGCGTTTTCTAATTCTACTTTTAGGATTCTGATGCAATATTATCCTTAGAATCATTAATAGTAATTTAATTTTTTCAAGTTTTTAAAGGTAATATTCTATTCTATTTTATACCTGATAATAAATTGTAATCTGTCATTAAACAATCTCATTTTATTGTAATATTGAAATTATTTATGCTAAATTATGCTCAATATGTTAGTTATATTTTATTTCTGATCATTTTATTAGTTGGATTTCATAATAGATTTTACATGATATGATTTTATCTTTAACAGTCATTATCTGTTAACAGTCATGAGAAAAAGTGTTCTAACCCTTTCTGAGTTTCTGGCCTTGCCCCTGCTTACATTTTCAGATTCTTAGACAGCTCTTCCCATTGTCTGACTTTGGGAGCATGAAGAAGAATATGATCGAGTTAATCAGCCTAAATTATTTTTATCTTTCGACCCAAGTTACAAAACAAAATAAGAAATTTTAACATAAATACCTATATTTCCAAACCATAGGACACCAGTTCCTTGCAGTAAATTTGACCACCTGTTCATTCAAGTAAACTTTAAAACGTTTGTTACTCTTTTATCATGTCATTTGCATCTTTTGTTTAATAATAATACATATTAAATTTGTTTTTTTGTGTTTCATGACAACTATCAGAGTTTATTGAACACCAAATACTGTATTTACAAGGATTGATTGTTGCTGTTGGGTTGCAATTTTGCTTTGTTATGTTTGAAGTTAATTTTTTTAAAAAATTAGTGTAAAACGATGTTTGTCAGATAATGTGACTCTTATTCTGCATCCATTGGTATTAAATATTGTAATATTTTATGTAATACTTTTATTATATATGACACTCAAGTTTTCACTGTATTTTGATGTAATCATTGTCTCCTTTTACTATTCCTAAAGAGAAATTTGAAACTCATACTAGAGACTACCAACTCGTACCAAGAATATGTATATTACAAGATGAATTGAAAAAATTTCTTATGAAAAGAACTTGACTTACACTGATGTTTAAAAGAAATACATATTATTTCTTGAGACATTGACAGAGTTACAAGTTATCTTCTTATAGTTAATTGGCCTGTACCATAGGATGTTCAAAAGCTATGGGTTCCTAAATAAAGCATATAGTTATATAATTAAGAAGTTTAAATAAGATCTTAAGATTAATCCTGAAATCTTAATACACAGTGAGTAAATCTTGCATGATAATTGTCTGAAGAAAGAATATGACTTGAGACCTAGCATACTGAATAGTATTTCTCACATCCCCTATAATCAATATTTGTATAGTGACTATACAAAAGCAGATATAATATGTGCAACTCCTCACATTTCTCAGACCAATATCAGCTTTTTGTAGACGTTGCATATAAAAATGTCTCCCCAACAAAAATATTGAGTCATGTTCTTTCTTGTGTTTCTTTCTGAATTCTCACAGTTGGTCCTCCTACCTCATTCTACCACAGAGATATCTGTTTACTTTCATCCATCAGGACTTGGGAGAGCTGGTCATGAAACTTGTATTAACTTCTATTGTACTCAGGTATGATCAGTATGTTCTCAGATAAAGCAGAACCTATATACACAAGTTCAGTTCATGTAGTTAATAACTTTTGCAGGTAAAACATTTTCATTGAAAATTATTAAATGTTTTAATATACAGTAGTATACACTGTATCTGAAAGCAACTAAATTAGATACATTTGTAGTCTTTAAGCCTAGAAATTAAGCAATACTTTCTCTCTCAAGTATAAAATAAAGTAAAACAATAAAATACTTATCTTAAACATTTCCTAAATCAGCTGAGCACTGGTCTTTATTTCAATCCCTCTTGAGTATCTATTCTCTATCTACTGAAAGTCTCCCTTCCTAAATGGTTACATCCGAACCAATAATTCATCTCTTTAGCTACTAAGTCCAGACCTTCTACCATTTCCAATGTTTCTCTTTAACCTTTGTGCCTTCTTTGTTTAATCCCCAAATGATTCACATCTTTCTTTTTAATTCATCAAGTTGAAGCCACTTGCAACTAAAACCAGGTCATAAAATTTAATTGAGTGAACTTTTGCATGAATAGTACATATTATATTATATGTGCCCAAGGTTATAAAGAACACGCTTTGAAATAAGCTTTAGAGTTTAAGTTTGAAGCCTAAATATTTGAAATAACCCTTTACCTTTATCAAGAAATATATATGGATTTATATTCAGTCCATTTGATTGATTATATCTACCTGAACTGACTTGCACAACTGAATAACTAAAAAATCTAAAATGAGCTAAAGGCAGTACTAGTCAGACACATTTTAACCATTTCTTAAATTTAACCTGAACTGAAAGAAATGGCTGACACTTAGAAATTGTTATGGACTTGAGGGTGACTGAGGGTGTCCATAGGAGGGATGTAAGCAGAGTAATCCACTAGGATCTGCTTAGTTCCCTGTAAATGGAGTTTTTAATTGGTCTAAGTATTTAAATCCCAGAGTCAGACATAGAGGAAAATTCTGAGAGATCCGAGAGAAGGAGCAAGTCATGGCCACACCTTACCTCCTTTGCATCTCAACAGACAAGGGAGCAAGTTTCTGTTTCTCCCTGATTATATCCCGTTTCCACAGAGCTATCTCACTTCCTGACTGTAGGGACTTTCAAACCTCTATGGTAATCTAGTGGCATGCTTTATTTTCTGAACTTCAGACTGCCTTTATTTATACAAGCAAGATATCACCACAGTCCCCAGGTAATTGTGGTAGAGACTGAGGAGAATGTCATAATCACAGAGGATCAAATTCATATGCTTGTCAAGTGAAGTTTCTTCCATCTTCCAGGGTACATCTCATTCTATAGTCAATGTCCTGCAGCATCTTGCTACTCTTACCCACACAGTACCTCTTGTCAACAGTAAAATGTCAAGATTCTGAACAGCAATGGGATCAGTATAAGTAAAGATATGTTGCAGGTTCTCTTAGAAACATAATCTTGATGAAACTTTACAAAGGTCACTCCTGTTTTCCTTGACCCCCCCCCACCACTTTGACTTTCTAACATTGCTTTAAGTACTTTTTGAAGATTGCATGTCTCCATTCTAAGTGGAAATCAGCACAGGAACTTGCTATACTAAGGAGAATATCAGGGGCCGTGAAGGAGTGCTGGCTACTGATTTGCTTGTCATGGCTTGCTCACCTTGTGTTCTTAGAGAATGCCACCACTCGCAATAGACTGCCCCCCATATCAATAGCTAGTTAATAAAATGCCCTACTGACTTGCCTACATTATCTTATAGAGGCTTTTCCCATTTGAGGCTCCTTCCTCTCCAAAGAATCCAGCTTGTATCAAGTTGACATAAAACTAGCCACCACAGAATGGATACATTTTCAGCCACAAAAGTGAAGTTATATTATTTTCAGTAAACAGCTAGAAATAATAATATTGAGTGAACTCGGTTTTTCTCAGAGTGGATATGCTGCATGTTTTCACTTACTTGTTCCTAGATTTTATATAAATAAAATCAAATATCTACATATGGCATGAAAGTAGAATCAAACGTATCTAGAGAAATTTAGAGGAACAATAATAGGTAAGGGGAGTCTGAAAGGCTGTGGTAGCCAAGTATGCAGGGGGATATGCTCAAAGTACATTATATACTTGTAAGACACCGTCCTTACAAGTGACTCTGTACCATATACAATAAAATACATTGAATAGAACGTTAAAATTTTTTAAATCTTGAAAATCAAATATATGTTTAGTTATGTTATGATTGTTTCTTTTTAAAATAGTTCAAAGAATGGAAATTCCACCTCTTTGGAGTAGGACTATTCCCCATGCCTATAGACGTTCAAAGAGTATCCACAGTCCTTGGTCTTCAAGCATCTGTCATGATACATTTCAAAAATCCTACCAATGAAGATGTTTCCATTGATCTCATATTAACAAGTAAGTTGTTTGTCTTATATTTTATAGATATATGTCTGTTTATTTCATTACAGTATAAAAATTTTATTAAATAAAAAGCATAAAGAATAAGAGGTAAAATATGATTGCTGAAAAACACCTCTTGAGTTGTCAATTCTGAATCTATGTACTAAGTAATCCTCTGATCTTACTTTTTTAAATCCACTTAAGAGTTAGTTGATTGTAAGATTCTTAGAATATTCTTTTTTTGAACTGTTATTTTATTTTGTTTTTTAATTTTTATTATTTAAAAAACTTTTTTCATTTTACATAGCAGCTACAGTTCCTCCTCCCTCTCCTTCTTCTGCACCCCACCCCTCCCTCACCTTTCCCACCCCTCCATCCTTTCATCAGATGGAGTAAGGCCTTCTTTGGGTAGTCAACAAAGTCCTGCATGCCAAGTTGAGGCAAGACCTAGCCCCTTCCCCCTGTATCAAGGTTTAGCAAAGTATCCCTCCATAGGGAATAGTCTCTGAAAAGCCAGTTTGTGCACTAGAGATAAATCCTGTTCCCACTGCCGGGGAGCCCCACAAACCGAGCAAGTCAGAGAGCTGTTACCCACATTCAGACGATATAGTTCAGTCCTATGCAGGTCCCCTAGCTATCAGTCCAGAGTTAGTGACCTCCCACTAGCTCAGGTCAGCTGTCTCTGTATTTCCTCATCTTGGTCTTGACGCCTTTGCCTATATAGTTCCTCATCCCACTCTTCAAATGGATTCCCAGAGCTTGGCCCAGTGCTTAGCTGTGGATCTCTGCTTCTGCTTCCATCAGTAACTGGATGAAGGTTCTATGATGACAGTTAGGGTAGGCACTAATCTGATTGTAGGGAAGGCCAGTTCAGATACCCTCTTCACTATTGCCAGGAGTCTTAGCTGCATCATCCTTGTGAGTTCCTGGGACTTTCTCAATTTCTCCCTAGCCCCATAAAGTCTCCCTCTGTCAATATTTCTCTTTCCATGATCTTCCTCTCAGTCCCTACCTCAGCTCAACCATTCCTTCCCCTTCTGTTCTCCATCCCATTACCCTTCACCCACCACACTCCCAATAACTCAGGAGATCTTGTCTAGCTCCCCTTCTCAGGGACATCCATGTATGCCTTTCTCAGGGTCCTCCTTGTTTCCTAGGTTCTCAGGGGTTATGGATTGTAACCTGGTTATCCTTTTCTTTACATGTAATATCCACTTATGAGTGAGTACATTTCTTCTATTGATAATTCTCTGTTTAGATCTGCATTGAAATTTTTAATTGGATTATTTGGTATTTTGATACCTAGTTTCTTGAGTTCTTTATATATTTTGGAGAAAAGTCCTCTGTTAGATGTGCGGTTGGTGAAGAACATTTCCCATTTCGTAGGATGCTGTTTTGTCTTGTTGTCTGTGTCCTTTGACTTCTCAATTTCAGGAGGTTCTGATTATTGATTGTTGCTCTCTCTCACTGTCTGTGCTGCTGGTGTTAAATTTAGGAAGTGGTCTCCTGTGCCAGTTCAAGGGTACTTCAGATTTTTCATTTTTCTTCTTTCAGGTTCATTCTAACTGGATTTATATTGAGGTATTTGATCTACTTGTGTATGAGCATAGATACAGATCTATTTGCAGTCTTCTACCTGTCAGCATCCAGTTAAGCCAGCCCCATTTGTTGAGGATGCTTTCTTTTTACACTGTAAAATTTGGGCTATTTGTCAAAAACCAAATGTCCCTAGATATGTGAACTAATACCAAGATCTTTGATTCAATTATATTGATCCGTGTGTCTGTTTTTATGCCAATGCCAAGCTGTTTTTTTACTACTTCTCTATATTATAGCGTGAAGTCAGGGATGGCTATGCCTCTGGATGTTCATTTATTGTACAGGATTGTTTTGCTATTCTGAGTTATTTGGTTTTGCATATTACGTTGAGTGTTATTCTTTCAAGGTCTGTGAAGAATTGTGCTGGGATTTTGATAGGGATTGTATTGAATCTACAGATTGCTTTTGGTAAGATTTCCATTTTTACCATATTGATCCTACCTATCCAAGAGTATGGGAGATCGTTCCATTTTCTGGTATCTTCATTTTTTTTTCTTCAGAGACTTAAAGTTCTTGTGATACAGGTATTTCACTTGTTTGGTTAGAGTTACCCCAAGATATTTTATGTCATTTGTGTTTATTGTAAAGGGTGATATTTCTCTGATTTCTTTTTCAGCTCATTTATCATTTGTGTATAGTAGGTCTACTGATTATTTTTTTTAGTTAATCTTGTATCTTGCCACATTGCTGAAGGTTTTTATCAGTTATAGGAGTTCTTTGGTAGAATTTTTAGAGTCACTTATTCATACTATCATCATCTGTAAGTGGAGATGAAGCCTGCTTGATCATGGTGGATGATGTTTTGTTCTTGGATTTGGTTTGCCAGTATTATGTTGAGTATTTTTGCATCAATGTTTATGAGGGAGATGGGTCTGTAATTCTCTTCCCTTGTTGTATCTTTATGTGGTTTGAGTATCATGGTGACTGTAGCCTCATAAAAAGTGTTGAGCAATGTTCCTTCCATTTCTATTGTGTGGAACAATTGATGATTGGTACTAATAAATTCTGTGATGAAACCATCTTACCCTATGCTTTTTTTCTTTTCTTTCTTTCTTTTTCCTTTTTTTTTGTACAGGAGACTTTTAATAACTGCTTCTATTTCCTTAGCTAGGGAATAAAGGTCTATTTAAGTTGTCTATATGGTCTTGATTTAATTTTGATAAGTCATACCTATTTAGAAAATTGTTCATTTCTTTTCGGGTTTTCCAATTTTGTGGAGTACAGTTTTAAGCTATTATTATGTCCCTCTTTTTCATTTCAGTTGTTATTATGCAAAAGTTTATAACAATTCGAATGACCTGTTTAGGGCATCTGGGATCTCCCTGGCCAATAACTCAACAAGAAATATCCTACACTTGGCACTGGGAGTTTAATAACCTACTACGTGTATGTGCAGGCATATCTACATATTTATAAGATAATAGGTATTCTTCTAACATATTCTTCTCTTATCTCCAATCCCCCCTCCACCCATTTCCCTATTTAACTTTTTCAACCCCAGTTATTCACCCTTTCCATTATCATATTAACCTATTTTCTCCTATACCTGCTCCCTTAAGGGCTTTTCTTTCTTACCTAACCTAGGGCCTCTTTCTCGTTTCTTGGCTTCTGTAGTTACTCCAGGTTATCCTGGACTTAATCTTATAATGAGTGTTGCATAAATGCTATATGGTTGTATATGTGTGTGTGTTCATATACATACATACTTACATATAAACATACATACATACCTAGCATAAATTTAAGCTATAATCTATGTTTTAGATGAATAGACTATCCATATCTGTTGTGTCCTTATATATCCAATAATTTGTAGATGGATTCATTTTTTTCCTTTTCTATTTAAATTAAAGACAATATTATTTTACATACCAATCTCAGTTCCTTCTCCCTCCTGTCCTCCCATGTGCCCCACCACCCACCATCCCATGTGCCATCCACACCCTAGGGAGGGTAAAACCTCGCATGGGGGATCATCAAAGTCTGTCACATCATTTGGGGCAGGGCCTAGGCCCTCACCCATGTGTCTAGACTGAGAGATTATCCCTGCATAGTGAATGGGCTCTAGGCATAAATAGTGGTTCCACTGCCAAAGGTCCCATAGACTGCCCTGGCCTACCAACTGACACCCATGTTCAGGGAGTCTAGTTCAGTCCAATGCTGGTTCCCCAGCTGTCAGACTGGAGTCTGTGCACTCCCACTTTCTCAGGTCTGCTGTTTCTGTGAGTTTCCCCAGCGTGATCTTGAAGATTGAGTCTAGAGAAGAATAGAGGAGAGCAAGAAAAGAGATACCATAATAGAGGGAGCCATTATAGGTTTAGAGACCCCAACTAAGAATTTAAGCAATAGTGGAGAAGCTACCTTAAATGTCCTTCCCCTATAATGAGATTGACAACTACCTTAAATGCCATCCTAGAGCCTCCACCCAGTAAATGATAGAAGCAGAAGCACAGATCCACAGCTACACACTGAGATGAACTCCAGTTGTGGATGGATTTTTAAATATTTTAGTGTTATATATTAAAGCGATTCTAATATTGAGTATGTTCTTCAAATATGTCACGTAAATTTCATGTCAAAACATACTCATCTAAGAGGACTTAATTTCCATTTCCATATCACTTCTTGAGTATGACACTGAAGTATAATATCTCTTTGTTTCTTGATTAGATAAAGAAGAACCCAAGAATCTTGTAATTGACCATTGCTGGGATAGCTTCCTCCATGAAAATGCTGCATTCCGGTTTAGCTCTTTGAGGCATACCCATGGTACATGATTTCTTTCTTACGTTCTGTCATTCTGTGCACTGCTGCATTTAAAAGATGTTCTGTATATAGAATTCTCTTGTTTTTGAAAGTTTCTGTGTTCTGATATCATACCAATTAAAATAGGGGTGTGTTGGTTAGGAAATTTTTAGTAGATTGCAAAGTTTGTAAGTACACATACTTAGAAAAATAATTGCAACTTTCCATAATGTTTGCCTGCAAACTTATTTCAAGGTATAAAGATAGTTTTTCAATATATTAGTCCCACCAATATACTACCCAATATGGAGAATTTTTTTTAAAAATTAAAAACAATAAATTTTAAAACTATAAAGTATTGACTGGTAATGTAACTCTGTAGTATGTACATGCGTATAGTATATGAGGTCTGAGGTTCAATCCCCTGTGCAATAAACAAGTAAAAACCACAATATCTCAAGAATTATGAATTTGTCTAAAATAATAAAGTTTTCAAATGACAATAATAATAAACCTTATGGGAATATGATAAGTATTATCTTATCAAAAATTAGTTGAAGTCAATAATGACTACTAACATCGCCCCACATTGTACTAATTGTCTCTTTATATTTATGCTAATCATCTATATCAACAACCTTTTTTAATTCATTTTTATTTTTTAAATTAAAAACAATTTTATTTTACATAACAATACCAGTTCCGTCTTCCTCCCACACCATCTCCCTATCCATCCCATGGGAATCATCAAAGTCTGTCACAGCATTTGGGACAGCACCAGTGCCCTCCCCTCTGTATCTAGATCAAGCAAGATAACCCCCCATAGAAAATGGGCTCTAAAAAGCCAGTTCATGCACTAGGAATAAATACAGGCTCCACTGCCAGAGGCCCCATAGACTGCCTAAGCCCTCCAAATTGACACAAATGTTCAGGGGACCTAGTTTGGTCTTATGCAGGTTCCCCAGCTGTCAGTCTGGAGTCAATGAGTTCCCACTTGCTCTGGTCAGCTGTTTCTGTGGGTTTCTCCTATATAGTCTTGAACCCTTGCTCATCACTCCTCCTTCCTACAACTGGATTGCAGGATTTCAGCTGAGTGCTTAGCTCTGTAATCAGTTGTTATAATTGCAGAAAAGTAATTTACCTTCTAGACCTCTTAATTTTTCCAATTTTCCCAATATGTCATTCTACACTTCTGGCCTCTGCTTAGCAACAATGAAATGTGAGAAAAGCCAAAATTCAAAACATGCAGGTATAGTTCAGTGTTAGAATACTTGTTTAGCATGCCCTACATTTCATCCTCCACTCTACAATGTATATATACAAAGATACATTCATATATACATACATGCACATATTAAATTTTAAAATGCTTAAAATTGAGCACTTACCTACATTATTATGATCTGGAAGAAATTGGGACAAAAATACTGAAGATCAGTATAATACTGCAGTATTTGGCATTTATAGAATTGGTATCTGGGTGAGAGTTTCATGAGATAAGATTCATTGAACGATACTTAGAGAGATAGTAACAGTGACAGTTGAATTATTTGATGGGAATTTTAATGTTATTTTGTTGCATCATTTTCAATTTGTTTTTTAAGAGACTTATAAGTTAAAGTAAGTTCTAGTCCAGTGGTTCTCAACCTTCCTAATGCTGTGACCCTTTAATACAGTTCTTCATGCAGTGGTGACCCCCAACTATAATATTATTTCCATTGTTATTTCATAACTAATTTTTCTATTGTTATGAATCATAATGTAAATGTCTGATATGCAGGATATCATTTGAGAACCAGATTGTGTTATAATCTGGTTCCTTCTTGACAGCAAAATCCCTGTGTTACAGTGTGTAAATATTAGGTTTCTTACAATGCTCTCTTTTGGTTGAAAACAAACGTGACTTCATGCTTCTGATGCATGGAAGAAATTACATTCAGTCTGAGAGGCAAATTAAAATATTCTGTCACTTTAAATATTTAAAGTAAAATTGTAGGAGATATATAATACTGTGTATAAGAAGAGTTTAAAACAAAAATCAACAAGAATCTGTCAGATTTTATCTCTATCTGGAATGTCAAAATTTCAACCACACATAAAATGAATTATTTTGATTATTTTTGTGACAGCCTATGTATTTTTAGATCTAAAAGTAAGATCAAATGGAAGTTGTCATGTCTCCATGAACATGTAGGAAATAAGGACACTGGATTGGTAGTGTGGCCAAGTGCTCTAAGGAAATAAGGACACAAAGATGTTCTAGCAGTTCTGTGAATAACCAAAATGCAATGTTACAAAAGGCCTATATATATGTGTGTTTGGACTTTTTTTGTTATCTCTCAGAAGGAAACTGATAAATGCATTTCACCAAAGCCTATTTCCTAGAATTTCTGTTCTTTCACGAGGTACAGACATTCACAGGGCTCATAGCTGGATAGGACAAGAAAGACAACTATTGCTTGTTTTCTTAGTATATGACCTTAGAATTTCTTTTATTGATAGAACTAATAATTAAAATGATCTAAGAATTTGAAGTTAGACTATTTTAGGTGAAATGATTTTCTCTTTTTATTCTTAATGGTTTTAACAATTTTAGTATACTTATCTGTATCAAAAGGGTTTTGATTATTATCAGTTTTGTACCAAGGAAATTTTCTAGTGTGAGGTAAATTAGTTCATAGATGTTATTAAAAAACAGAACCTGCAATACTAAAAAATGGCCAGAAGAATGTGTTACCATCCACCATTTTCTTTATTTTGTTCAACAGGTGGGATTACTTTTTTCAAAGTTTTCTCTTATAATACTGTGTTTCTTTTGCTGTAAGTTCTACTTGAACAAGCCATTTCCCTTGAGTTGGGGTTCAACAATCTCCATGTGTACCGTGATTTTTGGTGGTCCTTAGTGAAACTCAAACTTTCCTAATTAATTGAAAAATAAAATATTTGAGAAGGTTTTCTGGCTTCTGACTCTCATAACTTGGATATTTTTATTAAATAACATTTGCATTTCCTTGTGAATGAAAATATTTTACTTCTGGCAACATAAAGGCACCAAGGAAAGATCTGGACATATTTTGGGCTTAAATACACAACAAACAAACAGTGCTGTACTCTTTCTAGTATAAACCTCCACACTTCCAAGTCCATAAAACGTGGTAAGATTTAGCCAAAATTCATGTGTTTCCTTGTTCTTTTTTTCACTCTAGGTAACCTTAACCATCAATTTAAAAAATTCCAAGTTTATAGCTTTTTAAAGGGAAACTTCTTACTGTAGGATAAAATGTCTTTGAATAAGGTTCATGAAATTTAGGAGAAGGATAGCGAAGCATTTGTAATTTAACAGGATGGGGTTTTTATTTGGAAGGTATTTTGAAATATTAATGGCCAGTAAAACCATTAGAGCATTGCTTTTTGCTATTAAAATGATGGTGTAAAATCAGAAAAAGCATGTGGAATTTTTCTTTCTGATCCTGGATTACCTTATTCAGTATGACACTTTTCCAGTGTCATCACTTTAACTTCAAATTTCATTATTTCATTTATTTTTTCAGGTAAATAGAATTCCATCATGTATATGTAAATTTTTATTATCTATTCATCAGTTGAAAAACATTTCAGTTGTTTCCATTTCAGGCTATTGTGAATGGAGAAGTAATGAACAGAGTTGAGGAAGCTTGTTATAACATTTTGAAATTGTTTTTTGTGTTGTACAGGAATTGTGGTGCCTCCTAAAGGAACTTTAGATGTCCCAGTTTTATTTATACCTACTACTATGAAGTTATACAAAACAATGGTGATTGTTATGGTGAAGAGAGCAAACAAAGAAAATTGGCTTGTTGACAATTTTGATGAACTAAGTGCAGAAACTAAGAGGTAACAATTATAATATAGGAAGAAAATAGTTTGTGTGTTGATTGAACTTGATATGATAGGTTTCCTTAATGTGTGCTGCATATTCAACATAAAGCTCAGTATTTTATATGAACTGTACTACTGTAACTCATATGCCCAGAAAAATGAAATTCATTTGTTGAAGTTGACAGTAGTGAGCAAAATGTGTGCAAAGGGAAAATAGTTACCGGCAGCTGAATCAAGAAACAATAACTAAGACAACCTGTTTCAGAAATTTGTATAAGCAAAATGAAGAATTTGTAAGACTGGCACTCACCACGTGAAGAAACTCTGCTCTAATCAGGGTGTATCATTTCTGTATCATTGCCAGAATAAAGGTAACTTAGATTCTTTGCTTAGCTTAAAGTTAAGCATGTTTCAATAATAGTACAAAACTTAAATGTTTCCTCTGTTCTTATAATTAGTCTAGAAACCCTAATTAAAATAGAAAACTTTAGTTGATCATATATTCACATACTTCTCCTCCACATGTATTATCCATTCTGTCAGGCCTTTCACCATCCCTGGAGTCACAGTTATTATAAACACACAGATATATAGTCTGCTGGTGAAAATCTACAGAGAAAAGAATCTTGTTTAAAAAGTTAATGAGAATTGTAAGATAGTTGTGGTTAAAAGCACAGAGCCCTTTTTGAATGTGATGTCCTAGGAGGCAGTTATACAAGTCACAATCACAACTGGTCTGATGTTCAGTGTTTAATGTATTATTTTGCAAGAAACTTCCATCTTCAGAAATAGTAAGCCAACTTTTCTAAGTTTTTTCCCAATAGTAGATGTGATGTATGCTCTTTATTTAATTGAGAGCTGAAAAGTTTTCATAACTTTCTGAAGTCCTGCAATTAATAGAATTTTTATTTTGTGATTTTTTTGGTGCATAATTTAGAATATCACCCATGTGAACTGTTTTACTCCTCATTCAACATTTAGTTACGTCAACAAATGCAAATGTATTTTTGAAAGGTAAATAACCAAAGCTCCTTCAGTTTAACTTACATCTCATGATGATTTGCTATGGAATAATTCTCTAAGACTTCTTGCACATGTTTATAACATCAGTAGTTTAAGAAAATGTTTTCTGTTCTGTAAATGTGTCTGCCTAAATATAATTACAAAAGGTTTACTAAAATAACTTCAGATTAATAAAGAATACAGCCTTTTTCTTTTGTATTAGTTATTTTTGAGATTATAATATACTTTCATTATTTCCCTTTGCTGACTCTTAAACTGTCATATATATCCTACCATATTCTCCTTCATATATTTATGACCTCTCTTTTCATTAATGGGTGTGAAATACATATGCATTTGTATGCAGTAATTATACATATATAAAGCATACTTCAATAATAGTACAAAATTTAAATGTATGTATACATAATTCTTACTTCCTAAGTCTATATTGACTGTATTTCTATTTTGGGTTAATTCTCCATATTTTAATTTCTAAACAGACATATGGGAGTAAACCATGGGCAAATTCAAGCAATACACTGGATGTACCCTATCATTGGACTTCCACAGGCACAAATGCCTAAAAGTACCCCAAGTAAGTATGTATTACTCAGGACAGAAAAAGCACAGAATTCCAAGAGACCTTAATTATTCTGTAATTTCATTTCTTTATGCAGTTACAGGCCCTATTGGTGAGAGTCCTGCAGCATTACTTTCTTTCTCACCAGTAGGTCTGGTAAATTTTATGTCTTTTTCAAAGGCTTCAAATTCCACTCATTCCTTCTCTATACCAATTATTATAAATGAATTAATTAGACTTCTGGGTTGAGAATATAGCTCACTGCTAGAATACTTTGCTTCCTTAATATGTGAAAGGGTCTGAGTTCCATTTCCAAATAAAGTAGTTAGAGAAGTAAAAAATGGTTAGACTATATTGAACTTAGATTATATCATCACACATCGAAAGAAGAAGAAGTGGTAAGTTTTGCTTGTACCAGAACACTTCCCTAAATATGCTAACGCTGGTTATAAAGAAAGACCAAGATTAAATACTTCCCATTTTCAACTAGAGAAAACAATCCACATATGTATAAGTACCTTTGTCATTTACAGCTGAATGTAATGTGTAGTTTTGTTCTTAAGTTTTCAATATTATTTTCAAAATATTTCAGAGACATGATAAAATTTCTTTCATGTTAACTATATTTTTCCATAGTGCTATACTTTTTAAAATGCATAATGTACTATTAAAAAGTAGATATTAAACTGTTGAAATTCTGATAATGCTACCTGCTACTACTTAGTTCTATCTATTATAGACAGTTTTGTTTGTTCATGAATAAACATATATTTTTTAAAAGCCTGTGAGTACTTTCTCATGAATTTCCTTCAAAGAAAATCAAATATACTCCACATAGTTTTCGTTTTATTCAGGATCTTTTGGTAATCACTTGAATTTTTAAAATTAATTATGAATTGTGTAACTAGTATATGTCAGATTAAGACAAGATAGTAATAATGTAAATGTTCTGAAATAAGTTAAGTATTTGGTATTAAATTGTGTAGCACAACTCTAAAATTCTGCTTGTACTTAATTTTTGTAGCAATCCTTTTGAGAAGCAAGTTAGTAAAAATTTATGCACATATATTATTGTGTTTTAGACAGTCTAGTTTAAATGCTTCTCATAAGAACATACAGAGATAAGCCGCTGCTTTTCATTAACCTACACCGTTGTCCAAGCCTATTACTCCTCTTTGTGTACCATTCAGATTATTTGCAAACCCAGGAGAATTTTGTTGTTCCATGAGCTACCAATTCATTTTAAGACTTATCTACTTATTGTCCACTGGGGCAGATAATTAGAAAATATTTCTCCCACCGGGTATACTGTAATAGAGTAAGAAATTAATCCATTGTGATGGACAAAGCATTAATTTCTTAAAGACTTTCCAAAGAAGACCAGTGGCATGACACCAATTATAAATTGATTCCATTATCTTCAAACTTAATAACTTAAGGTTGAACTTAATTATAACCAAAAAATTTGTATGTCTTACCAAACTATGTCACTCGTTTAGTGTAACTCTGATTTTGTAGTTATTTTTATTTTATATAACATTTATAATACACAAATATTATTTATTATATAATTATAAAATATAAATTTAATTTTGTTATACCAAGAAAACGTAATGAACATTGTGAAAACGTGTCAGAGAATAGCAGTTAATTTTTATGTCATAAAACCATGTTGATTCTAAGGAATATATCATGATGTTCTTCAAAGATTTTCAAATATAGATTTCAAATTTCACTTATATTTAGTATATAATTTGTGTTTAGCAGAAGTACAACAATACATTTAAGAAAAATATTTGTGTATATGTAAATCCAATATACATTGCTCCATAGGATTATAGAGCTACTATCATATATCGGTTGTTCTTTATATAATTAGTAATTATATATACAAAAATGTATTTTAATAATATTGACAACTTCTACATTTGATAGGCATAAATGTTACTATATAATGCATACTATGGAGAGATCATGAATGCTATGAATTAACATTAATACATCACATTTAAGATTAATTTTAAGTCAGTTTAGTCTTATGTATAACTACTAACATGATAGATTTTATAGATTTAAATTTTTCATATGAATTTTAAATTCCATGTGAAAAGTCAAGTAGTAGTGCTTTAAATTTTATTACAAACCAAGGACTATTGAACTTACATTTTACTGTTATCATAAAAGTGGATCTTAGAGTACCCTAATAAATGTACTTACTTTTTAAAAAGTAGTTCATGTGTCCAGAGTTGCCCCTTGAATTGATATGAGCATATCAGTTTCACAATTCCAGAAACAAATTTGTACATGCTAATATCGTCTCTAACCATTATATATATAATGACTATATATAAACATATATATATATATAATGACTATATATATTTTTTACTTTTTAATACTGGGGTAGATTGACTGTAATTGGTCCCCATACGCTCATAGGGATTGGCATTGCTCTAGGAGTTGTGACTTTGTTGGAGTAGGGGGTGACCTTGTTGGAGGAAGTATGTCACTGTGGGGATGGGCTTTGAGGTCTTTTATGCTCAAGCTATGATCAATATAGACACAGTTCACTTCTTTGTGCCTGTGGATCAAAATGTATAACTCTTAGCTCCTTCTCCAGCACTCTGTCTGTCTGAATGCTGCCATGCTTTCTGCCACGGTGATAATGGACTAAACCTCTGGAAATATGAGCTATCCCCAATTAGATATTTTCCTTAGTAAGAGTTATCATGGTCATGGTGTCTCTGCACAGCAATAGAAACCCTAACTAAGACAGATACTAATGTTGATGTTTATATATGATATATAAACATAAAGACATATTTCATGAGTATATGTGCCATATGCATTACTAATTTAAATTATGTTTAATAGTTTTATTTTATTGACAGTTTATTTTATTTCAATAATAATCATGTTACCTAACAGTTGAGTTAACTAAATAAATTTCTCCTACAGCTGTCATAAAATGTCAGGCCAAGAAGCGAGTGGAAGAGAAAGTGGAAGTGACAATGACTGGTAATTTTTTTGGCTCACGTCTATCGCATGACGTGATAGAATTTGCAGTGTATCCCAAAAGAAATTCTATTAACAGTATTTATGAAGATGTTGATGGTAAGAGAATTTTAATCATGACTATAAGAAATGACTATAGTAAATAACATTCATTTATTTTAAAATATAGGCTGCTGGTTGCTTAGTAATTAAGATCCATGTACTTTTCATTTACAATATAACATTCAAGTACCCAAGAACTCTGTTAATTTTTTTGTCTTCACGTAGTAAAGTACACTGATTTATGTGACGCGAATGGTAAATCTCTCAACTATATTATTTCCATTTGAACTTAACGTCTATATCTTTCTCTATTTTCCTGATTTTGTGCATGTAGTTTTGAACATTTACCCAAGGTTTCATACATGTTAAGCAAGGTCTATGAGACTGAGCTAAATATAGAGTTCCTTGTAGATTTAACAATTGTTACTGAAGCCTTATTACATTTTTTAACTTTGTTATTACTTTAATTTTAAATAGCTTGCTTCACAAGGCAATCCCAGTTCTGTCTCCCTCCCCTTCTCCCACACCCCACTATCATCCCCCCCAGCCTCCCACCCTAGCCCACCTTCCTTCCACATAGGGGATATACAGAGTCTGTCATTCCACTCAGGGCAGGATCCAGGCACTCCCCTAAGAGTCCAGGCTGAGAAAGCATCCCTCTTTGTGTTATGGACACACGAAGTCCATTTGTATGCCAGGGATAAACACTGATCTACTGCCCAGGACCCCATAGGTTGCCCAGGCCTCCTCACTGACTCTCACACTCAGGGGGTCTGGATCAGTCCCATGCTGGCCTCCCAGCTGTTGGTCTGTGGTTCAAAAGCTCCCCCTTGTTCACATCAGCTGTTTCTGCTGATTTCGCCAGGCCTTTCTTTGCCAATTTGCTCATTGATCCTCTCTCTCTGTCACTGGGTTCCATGGGTTCAGTTCAGTGTTGAACTGTGGGTGTTTGCCTCTGCTTCCATCAGTCACTGGATGAAGGTTCTAGGATGGTATATAGGGTAGATGTCAAGTTCATTATCAGGAATGGACATTTAAGGTGGTCTCCCCACTATTGCTTAGCTTGCCAGTTGGTGTCATCCCTTTAGATCACTAGAGGTCTCACTGGTGCCAGATCTCTCTTGTAACCTATGACTCCCTCTATTATGGTATTTCCCTATTACATTTATAAACAAATTTGAATGAATGTTTCTTGCTTTAAAAAATTAGAAAAATTGATATGAATTGAATGTAATACTTTAATCATTTTCTAAATGACTTTTTGTTGCACACATGCCATTTGTATTTCCTATTTTCTATACAAATTAAAATAATTGGGTATATATTGTGAATAGTACATTCTAGATTTCAAAATCAAAATATTGAACACAAAATGAGTCCATACTTGACCTCATGTAACAATTTTTATTCACAGCAAAATACATAATCAAGAGGGAAACAATGTGGGATATATAAGATAGGAAATATTTGCAAACTATATATCTGATAAGGGATTATTCTCTAAAGTATATAAAGAATGCCTAAAATTATTAAAATACATAATAATCTAACTGAAAACATAGGCTATAGAACTTGAATAAACTTTTATACAGAGAAAATATAGGGATAATTAATAACTGTATGAAAATTTATTCACACCTACTTATTACAAGGGAAATGCCTCTCAAACTCTGCCGCCAAAATGGTATTGCATCACACTTATCTACATGGACATTATTTTAAGAAGTGTTGAGGAGACTCTGCCAGAGAACTCCTAGAGTCGATAAACACCTTCAGCAAAGTGGCAAGATACAAGCTTAACAAAAAATCAGTAGCTCTGCTATATACAGTAAATGGGTGAGAAAGATATAAAAGAAACATAACCCTTTACAATAGCCACAAACAACATGAAATATCTTGGGGTAACTCTAACCATACAAGTGAAAGACCTGTACAGCAAGAACTTGAGTCTTTAAAGAATGAAATTAAGTAGATACCAGAAAATGGGAAGATCTCCCATATTCTTGGATAGGTAGGATCAATATAGTAAAAATGGTAATCTTGCCCAAAGCAGTCTACAGGTTCAATACAATACCCATCAAAATCCCAACACAATTCTTCACAGGCCTCGAAAGAACAATACTCAACTTTATATGGAAAAACAAAAGACCTAGGTTAGCCAAAACAACCCTGTACAATAAAGGAACTCCCGGAGGCATCACCGTCCCTGACTTCAAGCTCTATCATAGAGCTGTACTCCTGAAAACAGCTTGGTATTGGCACAAAAATAGACAGGTAATCTAATGGAATCTAATTTGGAAACCATGGTATCAACCCACACACCTATGGACACCTGATTTTTGACAAAGTAGCTAAAGTTATATAATGGAAAACAGAAAGCATCTTCAACAAATGGTGCTGGCATAACTGGATACTGGCATGTAGAAGATTGCAGATATATCCATATCTATCGCCATGCACAAAACTTAAGTCCAAATGAATCAAAGACCTCAACAAAAATCCAGCCACACTGAAGCTCTTAGAAGAGAAAGTGGGAGATACTCTTCAGCAAACATAACACCAGTAGCACAGACACTGAGATTGACAATTAAAAAATGGGACCTCCTGAAATTGAGACGTTTCTGTAAGGCAAAGGACATAGTAAAAAAGAAAGGCAGCACACAGAATGGGAAAAGATCTTCAACAACTCCACATCTGACAGAGGACTGATTTCCAAAATATGCAAAGAACTCAAGGAGCTACCCACCAAAACACCAAACAATCCATTTAAAAACTGGGGTATAGGGATAAATAGAGAATTCTCAATAAAGGAATCTAAAATGGCTAGAAAACACCTAGGATAGTGCTCAAGATCCTTAGCCGTCAGGGAAATGCAAATCAAAACAACTCTGAGATATCAGCTAACACGAGCCAGAATGGCTAAAATCAAAAATACCAATGACAGAGGATGTAGACAAAGGGAAACACTCCTCCATGGCTAGTGGGGGTGCAAACTTTGAAAATCACTGTGGCATTTTCTCAGGAAAATGGGAATCAGTCTACCTCAAGATTCAGCAATTCCATTCATAGGCATATACCCAGATATGCACATTAATACAGCCAGGAAATGGGTTCAACTATGTTCATGGCAGCATTATTTATAATAGCCAGAACCTGGAAGCAACCTAGAGAAACAATGGAGTATCTATCACTCAGTGGGGAAAAATCAATGAAACCTTGAAATTCCCAGGCAAGTGGATGGAAGTGGAATAAACCCTCCTGAGTGACATAACCCAGTCACAGAAAGATGAGCATGGTATGTACTTGCTCATATATGGATATTAGACATAAAGCAAAGGATTACCACCCTACAATACACACCACCAGATAAACTATGAAACAAGGATGACCCTAAGAGCAAAACACATGGTCCTCCAAAGAAGGGGCAAAAACCCATGAACAAATTGGGAGCATGGGGGAAGAGGGGAGGGAGGTAGGAAAAAGAGAACAGGAGCAAAGGAGGGAGGAGTAGAACAAGAGGGATCAGGAAGACTGAGACAGGGGAGGAATAGAGAGGAGCAGCAAAAGAGATACCTTAATAGCGGGAGCCAGTATAGCTTTAAATAGAAATCTAGCACTAGGGAAATGTTCAGAGATCCACAAGGATGACCCCAACTAAGAATTTAGGCAGTAGTGGAGAGGCTGCCTTTGATATCCTTCCCCTATAATGAGATTGATGACTACCTTAATTGCCATCCTATAGCCTTCATCCAGTATCTAATCGAAGCAGGAGCAGGCACCCACAGCTAAGCATTAAGCCATAATCCTGTAATCTAGTTGTACAGAGGGAGGAAGAATGAGCAAAGGAGTCAAGACCATGCTGGAGAAACCCACACAAACAGTTGACCTGACCTAGTGGGAGCACAGGGACCCCGGTCACAATGCTGGGGATCCAATATTGGATTGAACCAAACCCTCTGAATGTGGGTACCAGCTAGGAGGCCTGGGCAGTCTACGCAACCTCTAACAGTGGAGGTAGTATTTATCCCTAGTGCACAAATGGACTTTGGCAGCACATTCCATATGGAGGGATACTGTTTCACCCCAGATACATGGAAGAAGACAACGGCCCCCTCCCAAATGATGTGATAGACTTTGATGATCCCCTGTGGAAAGCCTCACTGTCCTTGGGGAATGGGTGGGGGTAGGTTGGGGGTCAGTGGGGGGCATGGGAGAATAGGAGGGCTAGGGAATGGGGTATTGATATGTAAAATAAAAATACAAAAAGGAAGTGTTGAGAAGAATAAGGAAATTTTAAACCTTGCATACTCTTAATAGGAAAGCAAAGTAATACAGCTCTTCTGAAAATTAGCGTGAAGATGCCTCATAAAATTTGAAACAGGACTGTGCAAGGAAATGGCCTGGTCTCTGCTCATATTCTTTTGTTCAAATCAAATTCATTAGATAGGTTGCTGTTTTTCCTCCTAAGGCAAGTACTGATAGCACAATCCAGTTGAAACTAAATGCAATTTTGTTCTAATATTTTAAATACACACCTTTAAATTGCTTTTATATCTGTATTATTAAACTGTAGTGCAACTTGTCTGCCAGAAATTATGCTCAACCCCGTGAATAACAAGACATAGATTCTAGGATCAAGTGATTAAAAATATTTTTTAATATTGGATTTAAACACTTACTATTTGAGTAATCTCAAATATTCAATTTTTACTAGCATATAATATTGTATAATGTATGAGTTCTCATTATGGAATTTCCATATATGTATGAATTATGCACAGTAATTTTTAACTCACCTATGGTATTTAAACATTTGTCATTACATAACAGAATGATATCTTATCAGATACACAGAATATTATATCATATTTTTCAATTGCACTTTAATAGGTTACAGTTCACTCTTAGTGGTTAGGATATATTCTATAATTGTATCTCTTAGTTCATTCATTGTGCTTCATTGGAAGTTAGTTCAGTGGCTTTCCGGTTGGGACTATTTATCTGAGAGTGGTTTTACTGCATAACTAACTGTTTATTAGATTCATGTATTTTTTTCAAACGACTTAAAATTTCATGCAGATGAGAGTTTGGCCCTCCTGGGCTTATGTGCACCATGACCATGTCCAGTGCCCTAAGAGTACAAAAGCAGAAGTCAGATCCCCTGGACCTGCAGTTACTGGTAGTTGTGAGCCACACCTTCGTCCTCTGCAAGAACCATCATCTCTATTAACTGATGAGCCCCTAGTGTGTCTTTCTTAGTTGTCCATAATTACAAGACTGTTGTTTTTCAATTACTGTATTGTCTTTTTGAGACCTGTTTGTTGGCTTACATGTCATATTTCCCTCGCCCTACATCAGTCATCTTGTGTGTTTGTATGTATGCTATGTATCAACTCCCAAGGTAGATTTAGCTTCTAATCTGAAAAATCTCCTAAATTAATTGTCATTGATCTTACAAGTTAGCCTCGGCCTTTCTTCCTTTGCTTTGCTCCTCTTCATTTCATTTCCTCTATTAAGCCTCCTATCCTACTCAATCTAATAGTATTGGCCTTGGAAAGACTGTTGTCTGCCTCATCCAGTCCTAAAGCAATGATTGTGTTTGTATGTTCTGGTTGTCAGCAGCACTTAAGAGTGGAGCAGACTGAAGGAATTTCCACTTTTGATTTGTCCTACCTAACCTCATTATTTACTTAATTTACTGGCTGTATTTTCTCCATCCTTGTAGTTTTTCATCCACCTCTTACAACAACATAAATATACAAATTACAAGATTCTGCTCTGTAGGCCAGTACATTCCTATGTACAGCTCATACCCTATGCACTTAAAACATCCATGCATTTTTGTAGTTTTTTGGCATTTGTGCCAAAAGGTGACCCTGCTACTACATTATGAAAACTAGTCAAGTAGTTTTGGTTTCCCGTTGTGTTAGTCAATGTTCTATTGTTGTGCAGAGACACCATGAACAAGGCAATTCTTATTTTTAAGAAAGAATTTTGGGCTTGATTACAGGTTCAGAGGTTTAATCTAGTATCATGATGGTTGGGAGCATGGTGGTACACAGGCTGACATGGTTCTGGAAGAGTAGCTGAGAATCTTACATCTGGATAGGTTGGCAGCAGGAAGAGCAGACTCTGGACTTGGAATGGGCTTTTTGAAACCTAGAATCCCATCCCCAGTGACACATTTCCTCCAACAAAGACACACCATCTAATCCTTTCAAGAAGTGTGTCACTCCCTGGTGAGCAAGTATTCAAATCTATGAGCCTGTTGGGACCATTCTCATTCAAACCACCACATCTATGTAGGAGGACCTCAGTAACATATTTTCCCTCACTGTAAACTTAAGTTTTCTTAGCGACAATGAAGATATAATAATGGTACTAATTTTTTTCTGATTAGTTTGAGGATTAAATGGGTAAATGCATGTGGAATTCCCAGAAAGTACCTAGTTTTTATGTACCCCTTGCCGATATGCTACTTCTGGAATTAAGATTCTTTTCATATATAATGAAAAATACTAGTAGTTTCTTTTGATAGGATACAGCATTTAAAATATCACTTTAAACTTATTATCTAAAACATATCAAGATTAAAAATTGAAAATCCTCTTATACTTATTTGACATGCTGTTTCAGTTTTGTGTAAGTTAATTAAAAGTTAAATCTGCATACATCTCTCAGATATCACACATGTAAAAGTATTTCTTTTTCATAATTAGTGTTGACTGCCAACTTTTGTTCGGCTTTCTTTTTCCATAAGCCTAAATTGTAAAGAATTAAAGATGTTGAAAATTGTATTTTATATTTTTACCTATATTCATGTATTTCATTTTAACAAAATTACTCATAGTATTATATCCTTGGTATTACAGTAAACATTATGAAAATAAAGCCAGGTAAAATTGACTTTTTCACTTCTTCTAAAAACATATTTAGAAATCAAATGTCACATAAATTGACGTTCAGTTTATGTATAATGAGCTAAACTGACATACATTTTCATTTTCCAAGTAACTCCTAAAAGACGTGAATTTGAGTATGAGATAGAATTTGAATCTGAAGATTTGAAGACTTGCCTGGACTCCACTGTAACATTATATTTGTACAGAAAACATTTTAACATAAAGCAAGAATCAATTTCATTGATTTTCAAACTGATATTTTCACCAAGAAGACCATTCCGGTAATCATAATTCTTACTCTTTTAAACATAGTATTGTTATGCTTTTAATTCATTGTGTTATTTTTTTCTGCCTGTCAATGTTTGGATTACATTATTTCTTTATTACCATGAAAAAATATCTTAGCTATGGCATTCCTAGCTAATAAGATATGAAAAGAATTCTAATAAAAATGAAAAAATATATAGTTCATTGGACCCATTTGCCATAATATACCTATAACTTACTAAGTAAACTGATAGTGCAATAATTACTGTATTTTCAGAGCTAACCACAGAGTAGAAAAGAAGACCCACAAATTACTATCTAAAATGACATGCTGATACTTTAAGTTATTAACTACAAAACTGTTCCTAAAATAGAAATAACAGTAATTTAGATTTTTAAAAATTTAATGTCTCCTTTTCTTGCTGAACTCAAGAGATACTTTCTTTTTTACTTCAGACATTAAATTAATATTTTTAATCTCTTTCCGTCCTGTTTTTTTTAATCTGTGTGTGTGTCTATCTGTCTGTCTGCTCTAGGGCTCATGCCACATTGAAAATTGAGTGCATAACAGATGGAATCTGGAAATTTCCTATAACGTTGATTGCTACTGAGCCTGAAGTGGAGGAAATAATTGACATCCAAGGAATTGGTTTATTCAAGACATCTGTCACGGAATTTAGACTGACAAGTCAGACAAGGTATTATATGTCAAGAAGATTTATGTAGCTGGTTTTATGAATATAGTTAATGTTTAAATGTAGTATAAATTTTAAGATAGCAATATATGAAGATTTCTCTATTCTTTTTAAATGATTTTTGTACGATTCTTTTGAAATTAGAAAAAATATTCTCAATAAATTTAATTATTCATGCTTTTTTGGTAACTTACAACTGAAATATCCATGTATAAAATATAAATCAACGAAATAGAAGAAGCCAAATTTTGACAAGTATTTATGAGAGACCATTGGTTGATGATATTACTTACACTTTTTGCTTCTCTTACTTTTCTGTTTAGTGCACATACTTCACAAGCACTGGATCACTAAACTGTTGCCAAGTCTAGTTCTATCAAATGATAAAGAGAAGTCTTAACTTCACTAGATATAATTGTAGACCTGTTCGTCTAATAGTAACGTTTCCTTTTTCTCTCGTGTCTTTCAAGAAATTTTATTCTACTGTAGCTTTCAGAACACTTCTTATGATGTGTTGTGCCATGTTATGTTTCTTATAAGTGCTGTCACTGTTAGACCAAAGTCCATGAGAACAGGCACTCAGAATCTCTCGTTGATTGTCAGGCATATAAAGGATATTTACTAAGTATATTCTTTAATAGAAGAAACATCCCTAAGTACTTTGGTTTCATTGATAAGTCAAAAGTGACTCAGCTATACCCATGGTGATTACTAAATATGAATTTTCCTTTAAGAACCCTGGGACCCAAAAAAGAAACTAGATGTATTTATTAAACTTCTAAAGAATACTAGCCTATATGATCAATTGCCATATTCATTCAGGAATTTCATAAAACCATTTAAACTACTATGTTATTTATTGTATAAATGAATGCATGTTTCAGAAACAATTCACCATAAATTTTTGGCCCCCTGGGACAATGCTAACACAATTGTTTTTAAACTCTGATCATTTGGGGATCAGGTCTTACTATATAGTCCTGGCTGGCTAGAATTTGTTATGTGATGACTATGTAAGCCTTGAACTTTAGTCATCTGCCTGTCTATATTATTAAATTGCTAAAATTATGGATATGCAGAATTATACCAGACCCCTTTATTGTTTTTAAGTTGCCATCCAAAGAAATGGCATTCAATGTGGCATTCTCATGTTTATGTGTAATGCTACTTTGTTTACAACTTCCTTCTCCAACACTTCAAAAAACTTTGGAAGATAGTTTTTTGATTTTATAAATGATGTCGTGATGCATATGCTTATTTATTGCATTAAAATCAATCACAGGAATGTGTATTGAATCTGACTCATTGTGAACTATTCAGCAGTTTAACTATATCCAGTAAAACATAGTTATAGTCATGATTAGAGATCAGATCTGCTGCTCCAGTAACTTAAACATTCCTTACTTACTAGTGTGTTTAACATTCCTACTTTGATCAGCTTTAATATAGTTCTTCTGACATAGTGTCTGAAAACTGGGATTGTATTTCTGTGGTAGGTAGTTTGTGTTATTAGCATCCTTGTTTACTGAGAAAACTGTATCACAGGACAGAAATCAATATTTTCTCATATTCCTCTATGATTAAATGACCTATGTAGCACATGGGATGTTTTTATCATCTTATGCAGGAGAGGTGTTTTAAGTGATTTACATTACAAGTTCCATGTGTAAGTACTGTAGAGATTAAAGATTCTTAACATGAGAATGAGAACTTACTTTGCAACTTCTAGGTTCTTTCAACTATATAAATAATTCATAGAGTTCCTATTAATGGCGTTATTATATTCTATCCTCTAATTTTTTGCATATTTTCATTTTGTATATGGATGAGTGTTTGTGTATCTGCATGCTTTGGTGTCACAGAATGTATGTGGTTATCAGAAGACTACTTGCTTGTTTCTTTGCTTCCACCCTGTGGGATACAAGGATAGAATTCAGGCTTTCAGGTTTTGTGGCAAGCACCCTTAGCTGGTGAAACACTTTGCCAGACTTGTGATATATTCTTAATTAAGAACTCTATGATATCCTTTGCCCTTATTCTAACTGAGAAATGTGAGCTACATCATTTGAATAGAAAATATCCCAAGTTTCATCATTAGTTCACTCATGATTGCTGTTGACATATGTAATTAAATAATACAATCATCAGTTAAAAAACAATCAAAAGAAATCTCAAAATTTTGTATGACACAAAAGAAAATTCTGGATGAATATATCACCATTATTACTTTATTTTCATTAGTCAACTTTGTCTGAGTTTAATTAGAAACTCTTTTCACTTAATTAATTAGAGACAGAACTGAGAACAGTGTTCACTGTCACAGAGAGCAGTAGTATATTATACTCTACTGAATATTCAGTATAAATCACTTGCATTCTTATTTCTTCTCACATTCTTTTGAGAAAAATCCTAATTTTACTCATGGTTACTACCATATAATACAGAGCATATGATTCCATCTCTACCACAATTGTGGACTCTTAATAGTGGGAAAAGAAAAGGGGTGGCAATATGGTTTTTGAAAGAAACCAAGAAAGGAAAAAAACTCTGCTTAATTACAATCAAATAATTGTGAGTAGATTTTTAATGAATACTACTGACATTATTTCAAACATTTTGTTCAAAATCAGGATATTTCTATCTTTCATTATTGTGTAATTTTGTATTAAGCTTAAGAGAAATCTTAGGGAAAAGAGAAATATTGAATTAATTTACTTAAGTGAATTTCAGTAAGTATTTTCCTAGGGATGAATGTGTTTATCAGAAGTTCTAGTACATCAGATCATATTTGACAAATTCATTAAAACTAGGAAAATGAAATGAGCTCTTGAACTCTTTATATTGAATGTACTATATAGAATCACTAAGACATCCAAAGTCCCATGAGAGTATATTCTAAACTGGAGAATTTGTTTGAGGTCACCCTGAAAAAAGTACATAGGAAATGCATAGCAAGCCTGGGATGCATAGTGAGACACTTACAAAATGGTGATGTGTAAAGAAAATATGATGAAATTGTTTTGTAAGCAGTTCTTTCTACAGACAGAGATAAATTGCTTTGAAAAGCTCTAGATAAGGAGCACAACATAGTTTTTAAAATACCTGAAAAGACCACTACAATTTAATGGCAATTTCCCCTTGGAAAATTTTATAGCTCTCCTTTCTGCATAAGTGTCACTTTTTATTTGCAGTCATTATTTATCTAAGAAGCTATTTCAATTTTCTGAGTACAATTACTTTTACCTTGGAGAATGGCTTTTGCATTATTGTAACAAATAATGGGAAGGGCTAATCTCTCAATATACAGTTCTCTAATATGTTTAATGGTACTATAATGAGAGAAGTAATATACTTCCAACAAATCGTAGCACTATATCAAATGTAGAACAACATGAACCTACTTAAGTTATTATTCTTGATCACTGCAGTCTCTTTAGTCCCTTGTTTCCCTAAAACCATAATAACAGCAATAATGAATATGTATAACCTACCTACCACGTATTTACAATATATAAAAGTATTTAATTTTAATGACACTACAGTATCACTGTATATAATTTACCTAAATACACATGTACCCCCATACACACGCATAAATATTTAATATTTTTATTGAATTTTAAATTACCAGGTCTGGCAGTGCTCAGTAATTAGGGTGTCTTTTTAAATAAGATGCCTCAGTTTCTGCCTACTACTTTCTGATCATATCCCAACAGAGAAACACTTTTTCTTGTCCTTCTATTTGATGTCTTATAAACCTCCTTTTTGGGTAATTCTAAATTGTAGTAGCATAGCAAACTTATTTCAGATATATTTTAAATACCAAATCTCTGAGAAAAATCCTAAACACTTCTGTTCTTTTTGAGACATATCCAGCATTGACTTTGTTGAATATAGCCAAAATAAGTATCTCCAAGGAATGCAGTTTACAGAAACAGGGTTTTGTTTTTCACTGGTAAGAGTTTGAACCTAGAGCCTCGCACACGCATACTACTGCATTATATCTTATTGTGGACGTATTTAGAATTTTACAAATTTGAAAGGGTCACATAGTTAAGGCATTTCCAAAAGAAAGCAAGAAAATGAGATTTGGTTGTGGGACAGTGATGGTGCGTGCCTTTAATCCCAGCGCTCACGAGACAGAGGCAGGCAGATCTGTGAGTTAGAGGCCAGCCAGGGCTATAGAGGTAGTTCCAGAATATCTAGGGCTGTTACATATAAAAACCCTGACTTGGGGTGGGGTGGGGGTAAAGGGAAAGAAAATGAGAATGAACGAAATCCAGTGGCAGTAATATTTCTTGACAGTAATTTGAAAAGACATGTTCCTTTGGTACTGTAGTTGGGGACACATTACTATTGTCACTCAATATATGTCATTTTCATGCTTTCCTAAATCCCAGCTCATATCACCACAGTGTTTTTTCCCCTTCTCTTTGTTGTTTCTGTTTGGTTGGTTGGTTTTGGTTTTTGGTTTTTATTTTTATTTTTTGGTTTTGTTTTGTATTGTTTTTTTAAGAGGGTTTCTCTGTGGCTTTGGAGGCTGTTCTGGAACTAGCTCCTATAGACCAGGTTGGTTTTTTTATTAATTTAATTTTAAATAGCTTGCTTCACATGTCAATCCCAGCTCCCTCTCCCTCCCCTCCTCCTACACCCGCCTACCATCCCCCTCAGCCTCACACCCTATCCCAGCTTCCTTCCACATAGGGGATATGCAGAGTCTGTCATTTCACTCAGGGCAGGGTCCAGACACTCTCCCAAGAATCCAGGTTAAGAGAGCTTCCCCATTTGTGTTATGGACACACGAGGTCCACCTGTATGCCAGGGATACACACTGATCCACTGCCCAGGGCCCCATAGGTTGCCCAGGCCTCCTCACTGACACTCACACTCTGGGGGTCTGGATCAGTCCCATGCTGGCCTCCCAGCTGTCGGTCTGGGGTCCAAGAGCTCCCCCTGTTCAGATCAGATGTCTCTCTTGTTTTGCCAGCCCGTTCTTTGCCAAT